TTTAGTTTTTTGCTATTTCTTGCTAGTTAGCATTTAAATCAATCTTCTCAGAAACAACCAACTATAATTAGATCTATATTAACATTTTTTTTTTCAATTAAATATAACTTTAACTATTAGAGACTATCATCATAAAAACAACACTTTCTTACAAATAATGTACAATTAGCCAATTTGATTCTTGGCCCACCATAAGCTTATTTTGTTACAACCATTTCAAAACAACAAGGTAGATTTTTGCTTAAATGAAAGAATCCCTGGAAACAAACTTGTTTTCTGAACTTGTTGTGTGAGTTAATTTTGACAATAAATTATTTGTAGTTTTGCCTATGGACTAAGGAAAGGATAAGGATTTCCCTATTAGATTACAAACGTTTTTTTTTGTTTTATAATGTCAAGAATTCGAGAGAGTTTCTGTTACATTTAAGATTCTAAAAGTGATTTCGAACATCAAACTACTATTCCAATTTTATCTATAACATGCTCTATTGCATTGAAAATAACGGTCAAACTTCAAAAATCTTTGATCCATATTAACACAGCTTGTACAGAGGAAAAGTTCTGTTTTGACATTTTTAAGCGAATTATCGGCCAAGAATCAATTGGTTCGATCGTACAATGAGCAACACATCAAGTTAACACAATATTAAATGTACATATTCTCAATTGCTTATGAATTAATCGGATATTAAGGCAAATTAAGTTAAATTCGGTTGGAGATATTGATAAATTTTGGATAACTTCACTTGTATAATCAGATACAAATATAATCAGTTATGAAACATAATAAGACCCTTATAAATCAAAACATTAAGTGATACAAAGGATGTTAGCGGTTTACCACTTATTACTGAATCTAAATTGCACTTTAAGGATGCGAACACATAGTGCTCCGTTTTACAGATCCGTCATTGCATAGCGTTTGTAGTTGTATGAGCCAGTCTACAGTATTATGGATCCAGTCAAAAATCCCACACGCAATAGAAATACCGATCCAGTAGAGTCATTTTCTTTAAAATCACCCCTAAATGCTGTTTAAATATTACCTTCAATAGCGACGAATCCCGTTAAAAAGAATCCTTTAAAAAACGGATGTGCTATGTGTACGTGCCCTAACTGGATAGTTACAGTTTGTTCACAATATTGCGACCTTAGGCACGCTATCATCGCCTCTGAATAAGTATGTGCCTACTTTCTCTATTCACAAAAATCTAATGGTGCGTTCAGACTACGCTGTATATCAAGTCTAAACAATATAGTATAACGTGGTGTGAACGTGTTCTATGTAAATATTTAGTGCGTGATATTGTAGTGCAATAGGCTATAATAGTATACCGTAGTCTAAGTGTACCTCAGCGTAAACATAAATGTAGACCGCCAACCACCAGACCACATACTCCAAAGATGCAAAACTAATTGCGATCGGTTGTGAAATTAGCAGCAAGCGCAACTACGATACGCGCAAGTATAGACAGTTAAACTACCCGGGTACACCTTTATTTCGTTTACTGCGCCGCGACTTGCGCTAACTTCACAGGCAGTAGATACTATTTCTTTACATCATACTGTATACTACGTATGACCCGTAAACATAAGAGAGTACAGATTGAGCAATTCTTGGCCAGCTGTAAAGTACTGGTCGCACCAATCGCTTCGTCTCTTTTTTTTTAATGCTTAATAGGCAAGGCGTTTCACCACAATCTCGCCCGATGGAAAGCGATGATTAGGCCTAAGATGGTACACGCCTGATTTTGCTTATTTCACATTTTTGTAGCCGTATTTGCTTTATACCCTTTATAGCAAAGAAATTGCGGTACGTGGCCCGTGGCAAGCCAGAAATTGTGACAAAAAGAGGTTCCTCAACCCTAAAAGGTTAAGCACCTATAAATCAGTTACAGGTATTGACCGCACGATCGCTTTCTTTCTAGTTTAGAGACTGATCAATTTCATGCCTGCAGGTATTGCTAATTCCATTCTCTTATGTCTATGGTATCATTTGACATTATCTGAGTATCTAATTAACTTTGAAACTTACATAAAGAAACTCTTGATCAGTGAGCAATAAAAAAGATAAAACGGACACTGACTTGACTATCGTCATTAAATCAACGATAAAATATCATAAAAACAAACTAAATAATTTAAAAAATACACATCAATTGACTAGTGAGACTTTACGTTAAAACCCTGTGTAATCTTTTATTTACGTATATCTGTCTCTTTTTCTAAATCACGTATCATAACACGATCAATGGACATAACTGCCTAAAGGACACACATAGTACGAATAACAAAACTATTTCTTTCAGTTTTTTATAGGTTATAATTGAGGAGCTGGCGAACAAAACGGTATAATTACGCATCTGGTCAAACTACTTTTTTTTTACAGTCCGTAGGTTTCGGGTCGGTGAATTGAATCTCAATTAAATTTCAATCAAAACCTCCTAAAACTGTTAAAATTACTAAATTTATAAATTAAAAACCATGCCAAAAGCTCACTGGAGGTATGTCATTCAGTTTTATACAGCTCCTGTAAATTTTAATTTTATGTAATTATACCGTTTTGTACGGCAGCTCCTCAATTATAATTAAAAAAAAAATCTGCCATGATTCATAGTAAACATTGATACATGTACATAGTGCGGTATATCGCTGTTGTTCGTTATGAAAAAGTCGTATATGTCACCGGCAATCTGTATAATGCAGGTATTCTTCACAATACCTAGGCAATATATAGAATTCCTGGGGTGTCAAGCAATGCATATATTATAGACATTCTTTTCCATTTTATACTTTGCCTAGGTAATGTATACAATGACTAGAGACTCACAGACGAATGAACTTTTGACCAACTCACAGTGGGTTAGGTTAAGTTAGCGTTGTGATCAGGGCCGTCTTTACCCTATTGGAGGCCCTGGGCATATTAGGATAATGGGACCCGTATGAATTTGATGTGGATTATGACTTGAAACAGAGCGAGTCATACTTATGAGTGTACTACTGATGATATTTCTTTAAAATGTGTATGTGCTTAGTATACCATTATACTATGTATATTTAAATTTATCTAAGCATGCTGAAGTCGGAAAGCCTAATTTTTGGGCGAGAATAGAATAGCTTCGCTTATGTATAAGCCAGTAAGTTGGTATTGTAGTCAGTAATTTAGGTTCGATTCCATCGAATTATATAAGTTTTTTGGTAATAAATATTGGTTATCGTGTGGTGATCTGACAGGAACTAGGGATTTCGTATTCAATCTGAGGGAGGCCCCTATCGATCGCGGGGCCATGGGCACTTGCCCAAAGTGCCCACTGGGAAAGAGGGGTCTGGTTGTGATCTAAAATTAGCCAGCCACCTTATAGATAAATAAAACAAGGAAAAGTTGACGCGCTATCTTCTCTTACAGACATTGCTGACTGCGGATTCTGCATTGTATAGAATATCTAGGCAAAATATGAAATGAATAATATTTATGGCATTCTATACATTGCCTAAATATTGCATATAATGTCGAATTATACAGATTGCCGGTAACATATATAATACTATGTTACATTAAGGCTCACCTCACACTGGCGTCGAGGCGTCTCTTCAACTCTGCACTAGCGAGTTAAGCCTAAATATGAGTAATAAATTTTCCAAGTCTGCCTCAGTACTATTAGAAACATTATCATGTTATATTATGTATTAAAGTTGCGACCACAGACCTAGATTGAAGTAGACGCCGCGTGTACTTCGATTTTATGTAAACCGAGCGTGCCAGATTTGGGTACTGACGAAAAAGCATAGTCTCGGCACTTTACTTGTTGGTCGCGGCACTTTAACTTGTTACTTGTTGGTCTCGGAACTTTGACTTGTTACTTGTTGGTCTCGGCATTTACTACAATTATATCGTTTTTATATTTACAGCTTAATATGACATAGTTAGATATTTTTAAAACATTACAACTGACGAATATTTGTATTATTACCGTAAAAGACCGTACCGTAAAAGAAAGAAAATTGGCCTCCCTTTTGGCACGCGAAGGGATAACTTGCGTTATCTATTCGATCCGTCTGTGGTTGCGACGCATATTTCGTAGAATACATACTCTTTCGATCCATAATATGTTCACAATACTTAACACATACACTAAACCAAAATAAACTTACAATATTGTACAAAGTTACAATGGCACTACTTTCCGACAGTTAAGTATTTAATAAATCACAATAATAGTAAATAAATAAAAACCTGGCCAAGAGCGAGTCGAACTAGCGCACCGAGGGTTCCGTACACACTTGAATTTTCAAAAATATTTTTTATTATATGATGTAACTAAAAATTTACGGTTTTCGCAATTTTTTCTTTATCTGTACTATAAGACGTTACTTTGTACCAAATGTCAAGAATGACCTTAGATTTTGGGGGGGGTCATGTCCCCTGTGACCCAATATCAAGCAAAGAATATTATTTTAATTTTAAAGTGAATATATAACTTAGTATTCTGTGAATATTAATATATTTTTCCGTTATTAATATAGAACAAAAACCTTAATTTTTTTTTATAGTTTTTAAATTAAGCGACAACAGAAATACATAATCTGTGAAAATTTCAACTGTCTAGCGATCACAGTTCATGAGATACAACCTGTTGAAAGACAGATTGACAGTGAAATCTTAGGCCCGTATTATAAAAAGATTCTCAGTGATTGATCTAGTCTTGAACATAGTTCCAAAGGGATGTAGCTATATACAGCACATAGCGACATCCCTTTCTAACTGTACTCAAGTAACAATAAGTTGTCATTCTGTAATACGGGCCTTAGTAATTGGGTCTCGTTTTTACCCTTTTCGTACAGAGTTGTTAGAATCTAAAACGCATAAAAAAATAGTCCTACCATTAGATATCTATATTTTTAATGTGATTATAATTACAAATTGTAATTGTACTAATCTTGTTTACTTATCGTTGAATATAAATAGTGCCAGTTACCTTCTAGAAGAATTCACATCACATTCATGTCTCCCAATGTAATCTGTTATCATATATATCAGGATTTGTCATTGATGAGATATACATACACCATATGGAAAATCCTAAGAGAAAACTGAAAATAATAAGAATCCTTTGCGTTGGCGGATATTGATTAACTTCTCCAAAGTTTGGGAAGCCCATGTGGTTGCAGAAGATATGTGCTAAAAGCGGGGCGACCACGTGACCTAAAACAGAAAATTACTAATGATATATAATGTACAATATTAATTTTGTTTCTAAAAACAACAAGATAAATTTATTTTTCATGATAATGGTGCCAATTCTGGCGTGATTCTCTAAACTTATAACTAAATTTAACATCAGTCTCTCCTTCTCATTATTTATAGAGAATGACAAGGATATACTGCTGTCATATTTTAGTTTAGGTTTAGAGAATCATGCTAGAATCGACACCATTATATTACTAGTGAGTGCCAGCAACTTCATCTGCATGGTAAAATTTTGTTTTCCATGCATCCTTCCTCCTCCTTTTCACCCCTTTAAAGGATGATTTCCGGGATAAAAACTAACCTATGTACATACCTGGGACTCAAACTATATCTATATAAAATTTCATCTAAATCCGTTTAGTGGTTTAAATGTGAACAGACAGACATACCTTTGCATTTATAATATTAGTATGGATAATATGATATAATAATCTTGTCCCTTCTCATGACATTAGAGAGAATTTACCATGGTATCAAATTTTACCAGCATTTAATTCACACATACATTTTGGTGGTTTTGGAGTATATTTGTGAGCAAATTGATATTAAAATATGTTAGGGAAGATTTGTGAAGAATGATAGAGAGAATAAAAGTTGATCGAGCTTTTTGGTTATTCATTATTAGTTAACAAATTGTTCTTAGTAAGTGCTTCCAAATGATTTTGATTTCTCAACATAGTTTTAAATTTCAATGTATTATTATAATCACAAATAACATCATTTTGGATTTTCTAATAATTTTCAAAATTTGTTAAGGTACTATTTAATGATATTCTTTGAGGACAAATCTATTATACATTAATTAGGTAATATAAATCCTATTTATTTGATAATCATTTGAACCATATTCTTTCTTATTTTTCAGCAGATCCTTGTAATTTTATACCTCAAAAACTGTCAAAACATTACTTCTTTGGAATGAATGAATAAATTAGATTTCAATTCCATGATTCTTACCAGACAATTATATAAAATTAATTTTATTAAACTATTTCTCACCTGTTCTCACAAATAGATATGCAGAGTAAGCTCCAAACAGGCTAGTATATGCAAATTGAAATACTGAAAGAGAAAATCATATTTTTTATTTATTTTCTATCATATTGGTACCGTATTACATAATAAACTACATAAAGATAGATTTGTTACAGGTATATTTTATAACAATGTTGTTATACACACACACTTCATATTTAAAATATGTTCTGTATTATAATATTTGGCCTCGAATCTCATTCATATGTTGCCAGATAGGAACTAATTGCTAAATTTAAAAAGTTGTCAATGAATACTCACATGATATCATAAGAGCTGTTTGGAAATTATAACCAGTATTTATTCTTTCAAACAGGTGATGAAAATGAGCTATAACAATAAAAAACAAAGAACTTATGAATACAAAAATTATTCTCAGTAACTCGATCAAATTCATACAACACTAACGCCCACAATTTTTTACATAAAATTTAAAGGCTAATCATGTTTAAGCCTCTTTCTATCTCTATTTGACTTTAAACGATTGACAAAAATAGAATGAAGTGTTAAACAAGATTAAACCATAATTTAAATCGAGAATTTTAGTACCAGTAGCCCTGAATTAGACAAATAGTAAATATAGATATTACTTACCTATGCCAAACAGAACCGGTCCCATGAAAACAGCTGTCATTGGTTTGAGGCACTGTAGCAACATAGGCATCATACATGCTCGGAACACCCATTCTTCACTGAGAGGGGCCATGAAATGATTACGGACCCAAATTAAATCTTGCCAACTGGATATCCAGTACAACGGTTCTAGAAACAATATAACTTTATAAAATTATCATATCCTACTACAAAATTAAACAGTACCAGTTAGAAAATACATTTGATGTTACCTGCATACAATTTCCAAGTTCCTGATAAAAACTGCATAGTCAATGGTCCCAAAAACAATACTGCAGTTAATATCAATGGCAGTATAGACGCAGCCACCAAGCCTGAAGCACGAATTCCTAATTGTGCTAAGAGATCTCCTTTAGACAAAGTTTCATCAGATAAGAAATAATTAGTATAGAATGGAGCCACCAGCATGATACAAGTGACACTAAAGAATCTCCTTTTTATAACTGAAGGATGGTCCCTGAAATTAATAAGTCAAATTTAAATACAAATAGGAGCTTTCACAGCTCGCTGAATCAAAATCTATATAAAAGACAAACCTATTTAATTTAGTTCCCCATACATACAAACTCGCTACATAACCAAAAGTTAGAAATATGCATGCAAAGACCGAGGAAAGGCAAGTCCAACCTGAACTTTCAATCTCAGTCATTTTTCTAATTCAATAAAACTGCAATAAACAAAAATAAAGCTCCAATTTTATGTACAAAAACAACAGATGGACCAATGGTCTTCTTGACGGATCCAACTGTCAATGTGTCAAAGTCAAGCAATATTTTTCATTATTTTCTCTATATTGGTAGTCAAAGGAAGCTCATACAGCCTAGTTTTCAGTGTTATCTTTTTCCCTTTTTTATTTACATTTGTAATGCGAGTTTGGGGTGTCAATTCTGGCATGATTCTCTAAACTGAAAATTTAATTTAACATCGGTCTCTCCTTTTCGTTTTGTATAAAAATAGACAAGAATATACTGTTGTCAAATAAAATTTTAGGTTTAGAGAATCATGTCAGAATCGATACCACTAAACTGTTTATTATAGTCGCGGCACGCTATGATGGCCACATATTGCAATAGTGACGAGAAAAGTCTGTTTGCTATCGAAAAACTGTATTTTGATCAAATGCGAGTAACATTGCTGTATATTTTTTTTCGAATGTAATAAAAAGAAGATTAATATAACTAAAGACTAGGCTTTATGGGCATTGTTCCCTTTGCCTTCCCTGAAAAGGGAGAATTTTAAATAATATTGACGTTTCATTATACATAACGTTGAAATTATATACGCATACAATTTAGGTAAAGTTGAAGATTTCTTATACTCAAAAAATGTATACACATATTTAATATGAATGGAATTCATAAAATATCATTTTGTTGCTTGTAAAATTCTGCTCTAATTTATTATTATTTTATATAGACTATGATGTTAACTTAATCGAGAAAAACGGAACGCATTCGGCAGTGAAAGAATATCTACGATAGATATATTAACATTGGAATATCGAAAATCCACGAGAATAGCATTTTTTACCATCAGTAGATATTTTCAATAGATATCCCTACTTTCGACATTATCTCGAAGCCGATATAGTATCTACGCCGCGAGAATTGGGCCCCTGATTACGAACTTACTATAAAAGATAAATAAAATGAAAACATATATATTTACTCACGCTGAGCGATCCGATATGTAGCGATCTAATTGATTTTATGTTTGCTGATGATACTTCTTTATTATTTAAGGTTGACCGATACAAGAATAACTTTGACGATGTAAATAATGCTCTCTCACAAGTATTGCACTGGTTTAATGTAAATAACTTAAAATTAAATGCAAATAAAACCAAATGCATTAAATTTACTTTACCTAATGTTACAAGCGAAACCATTAGAATTAAATTAAACAATGAAAACCTAGATTTACTTGAATCAACGATATTCTTAGGTATAACCATTGACTCGAAATTGCAATGATATCCTCATATTTCTCCGCTAGCTGGTAAACTTAGTTCAGCAGCCTATGCCATACGTAAAATAAGACAACTTACTGATGTAGCTACTGCTAGAACTGTATACTTTAGTTACTTTCATAGTATTGTATCCTATGGTATTATTCTCTGGGGATCAGCAGCCGATATTGAAACTATATTTATCTTGCAAAAAAGAGTTAGAAGGGCTATTTATCAACTTAGTTCTAGAACATCTCTTAGAGAAAAAATTAAAGAAATCGGAATTTTGACTGTTGCTTCCCAATTCATTTATAATTGCATACTTTTTGTTCGAAGCAATATTAACTATTATCTAAAACACAGTGACATACATTCTTTTAATACAAGGAATAAAAATAAACTCAAGATACCAAATTACAGGTTACAGAAGGTTCATAAATCATTTATGGGTCAAGGTACACATTTCTATAATAAGATTCCTATTGATATCCTTGATTTGCCTCCTCATAAATTTAAAATACACATTAAGAATTGTTTACTTAAGAAAGGATATTATACTGTCAATCAATATTTGAATGATAAAACGGCCTGGTTGTAATTTTACCTGTAGATAATTTTTCAAAAGTTATATTAAAACTAAGGCTCCCAGCCTTAGAAAGAGTTTTGAAGAGAACCTTGCACTTACTCCCTTTCATATACTTGTTCATTTTGTTTTGAAAATTGTTTCTTGCTATTTTGGGACTTATCTTTGCACTTATTGTTAGTAAATTCGTTGATTGTCTATTATTACATATTTGACATTATGTGATGGAAGTTGACGTCAACACATGTTTGCAAGTTTCATGTCAACTTTCAATTGGACGACACTGTATGAAATAAAACAGGGAGAAAAAAGCAGCCCTTGCTGAGTTTCTTGCCGGTTCTTCTCAGTACAAGGTCTCCCGCCGTAGTTTTGCGAACCGATGGAGTAGCTTTTCGACATTCACAAGTGCTTGTAACAAACAGCCTAGACTGAATAAACGATATTGAATTTTGATTTTTTTTTATGTTTTTACATTTTAGATATAGAAAAAAAAACAATTGCTGAGTTATGTGGTGAATTAATACACTATATTAAAATTGTATTATTATTTGTTTGATATATCCAACATTTCTTAATGATCATAACAATAAAACAAATAATTAATTTAATTTACTTTATTCTTAAAAGATTCTGTCCAATGGCCGGTGCTTTTATGTTAAAAATGGTAATATATTTGTGGCGACTTTTCACCATGTTGTTGGTCCATGTCGCCATACAGCCAGTGTCTATGGATATTCCGTAGGCACTGGCACATTAGAAATTAAGTTTTATAATTATGTTATTTTTGATATGTTCTGTTAAATTTTTAATTGTCCTTCTAAAAATAGACTTCAGATAGAAAATTTCGTCCGTACAAATTGTATTTTTATAATTGTAAATATTTTGCAAATATAGTGCTGATAAGTTGACGTATCGTCGTTTAATTACTTCGTTCCGCTAGTGGGGAGCAGCGGTTAAACATTCCCAAATATTTAATTATAAACTAATTAAATATATTACCATTGAAAAAGGTTTTCGGAATCATGATGTACAATAGACCAAAATATAAAATACTTTTGTATAATTTTAATTCTACGCCCTAAAATTACCGATTCGATAAATTTTATGACTAAGTGCGCGTCTCTAATGACAACGAAGAACAATAATTATTTCTTTCAAATGTCGAACTAATTTCAAATTTTGAATATGAAACTTCATGGGCTCACAAACTTCAAAACGGCCATAATAGCGTGCCGCAACTATAAAGAATTTTGAACGAAATAAATGCACGTTTACTTGACCGAAATATTGAAATCATTCTTAACACAGCTTTAAAGAATCACACCAGTAGTGCCAATTCTGGCGTGATTCTCTAAACTTAAAACTAAATTTAGTATCAATCTCTCCTTTTCATTATGTATAGAAAATGACAAGGATATACTGCTGTCAAATTTAAGTTTAGGTTTAGAGAATCATGCCAGAATCGACACCAGTATCTATGTAAAGACAAGGCTGTATGGACGTAATGACTGTTGCTTTCTCCGAGACAAATAAAATATAAAGTTGTGTTGTTTATTTTGTACTCTTTTTATGAAGACAAAGATACTTAAACTTATACAGCCCTTCTTCAGCATATTTATCTTTTTTTTTATATTTACTATTAGATACGAGATAAAACACATTATAGTTGAAGTATTTGGCACGAAAGGTATCGGTTCAGCTTATCGATATATAAGTTTATGTGAAGTAGTGTACATACTTTAATTAAATTCTTACTTCCACTGAAACTAAACAAAGTTTATTACCATGCTAAAGAGAACGAAAGAAAGAAAATACTGTAAATTAAGTTTAGATAATTATACTAGAATAAAGCGAAAAGAAAATAATTATCCTTTAATTTCGTTATGTGTGATTAGATTTGGTAAACCATCATCAATGGTGAAACGAAAGTGCAAAGCTTCATTGGACTACATTTGATGTTATCAAAGTAAACTCTAAAATATTGTAATAAAGACTATAATACTTTTGTAAGCACAGATGGTAAAATCTTGTCGGAGAATGCTAGATGGCACTGGAGTCGCAGCCGCCATGTTAATCCAAATATCCGCCATATTTTGCTGAAGAGTCGCCCATTGCTCGGGGGTAGTGTGAATTTTCGTTGTGATTATTAGAATAATGATTCCTATGAGTTAATAATTGTAACTTTAGTGGCAGTGATTAGTAAAATATTAATAGATTGTTGAAATTAATACCTTGAAGTTCCTAATGTGGTAGTATATCGGTTTCCCGTTTCGTTTTTTCATTCTGATCTAAACAGAAAATGGCCGACGGTTTTAGTGCGGGTGTCTCCTTTGTTTAGAGCTGAATTTTAGTGAAAATAAGTGTCTGAAGAAATAATGCCTAGTGCCTCGTTTTCCTCTTCGCGTTCTTACGTTCGTAGATCGCGAAGAAAAGGCGGACATCGAATACCTCTACCTTCTCGAACACAATCAAGTAAGTAATCCGGGTCGTCGCTGTCGCCCCGATATTCTAATGGCTATATCGACATTTTCATAAATGTTCAACGGTTGTGCTGTACCTTATTACATTTTTTTCTTACTTTAATTTCTTATGTCTGTTTACGCATACTATTTCCAACGTTGAGTCAACGTGATTTGTTTTCGGAGCTATCATACCTATTCATTTCGTGTCGCTGAACATTGTTCTCCTTGACTTGATTGGCATGCAAATTCACATTATTTCTTCACGTTCAAATTTTGACAAAATCATAAAGTAGCGCATTTCACTGACATTTTGCGCACTATGGGTATTGATTTACTAGATGAAAACTTATTTTTAAAAGGCACGGTGAAACAGCTGTTCTAAAAAGCTTTCGCATCCATTTAGATTTACTAAGTAACTGTTCGATTAACTGTATTCAATAGGTATTCATTGATTTACGAGAATCAATGAATATCCTGTTTTTCACATCTCATATAATGTTAATTTAAACATCACTTTTTAATACATGCAAATAAAAAGTGCATATTCAAATTTGACCATTCTATAAGCAGTTTCAATTATGTTTTAACGTAATGCACTTGACAAAACTTTATCATACAATTTTATTAATACAAAATAAATACTGGCTCTTTGTTGAACAAGTCACATTATCAATGTAAAATTAGTCAGTCCATATTAGATTATTTTTTTGGTAGAATGTAATGGTGCTAGTTCAAGAAAATGATATATGAAAATGCACTTATATACTCAATTATAATGTTCCTGCAGCTTTATCAGTAACTGACTGCACCTAAATATTCAGCCTACAGTTGCAGACAACCGAGAGTATCGGAACAACTTTTTTTTATGAAATTAATGAATTTTTTTGGTCTAAACAAATTCTAAATGTTTTACTAAAAAGTACTTATATTTACTAATATACTAGTAATTTGTAAATATTACAGAGCAGGTGGTTAGTGCGTTCGGCTGCGATTGTTGTCAGTCATTGGATGGGTGACCAGAAATCTACTATCTCGAATTCCTCAGTGGTTCAAAAGGCGCGTTAATCTGTTGGTCCCTGCTGCATTTGCAGTTATTAGCACCCATTAATCCACATTGAGCCTACTTAGTGGGTCATAGCCCAATCTCCCTATTCCATCTAGCAAAGGCCTGTGCCCCAACAGTGGGGACATTAATAGGCTGATGATGATGAAGTCACTTATTTTCTGTGTATATTTTAAAATCAATAAGTAATAACTGTCTTATTTATAAAGGTGTGTAGAAGCATTATAAGCTTATTTGCTAGTTCTCTAAAAATATTATTTACAAACATTCAATAACGCTACAACCCTTCATAACTGTATGATAACGCCTCTATAACTTAAAGTAGGATGATGAACCCTACTTACCCTTGATAAACAACAAGATGATCGAATTTGAATAACAGCTGATCAAAGTGGGGTTTTTTGTGTGGCAATGTGTTCTGAGGTGATTATTTTCTTTATTCAGTCACTAAATACACACTAAATTTTAGTGACAATGTCTTTATTGTATGCTGTCCATCACAAACATTAACTATGGAAGCTCTGCAAGCTACAGCCACCATTGAGCATGGACCTTCAACTGAAATTATTATAGAAACCATAGCAACTAAGACTGGCTTTATTTTCACAGGCGTAATGTCCTGGTTTTTTGCCAATTTGTTTATGGATTCATCAGAACAACAACAAAATAATACGAAATAAGTCCATAGTGAAAGTATAACGAGTATTCAATTAGCTAATTGAATCATTAATTTAAATTAAGTGATTTTTATTATTAAGGCATTCAAACAGAGAACAACCTAGGTAAATAATTTTAAATTTTATAATGAATGTTTGCTGTGCTTAGAAACTTAAAACTACATGTTAAAATTTGGTTATTGAAATAATGGAATAGTTCTTGATTGTACCAAATTTTATGAGCCAAATTGAAGTAAAAGGTACTAACTTATTTGCTGTATTTTTATGACAATAGAAACACACATGAGAAAGTTACCTGTTAATGAGTGACTTATTCAGGATGAGTAAAAAGTTATTTAAAAAAAATTAACATCTATTGTAATTGTGAGTTGTATTTTCAACAAGTGTTTATTATGCTTTCAATTTGAATTAAGTTTTATTAATATTTAGAAAAATTTAATTGACAACGGGTCATCCATAAATTACGTCACACAAATTTCATGATTTTTTGCCCCTCCCCCTGTCCTTGTCACAGCTGGTCACATTTGGCTGTCAGAAATAACAAAATGAAATCGTAAGCGATAACAATAGCCATAACAATCCCGTTAGACGATTGGCCCCCAGAGCTACAGTAAATGATAAAAAATGCTTTGTTTGTGTGAAATATCAATCTTCAAGATGAATACTATGTTCTTGATGTAATTAATAATTTGGTTGTCCTAAAATCATAAGCAAATAGCTCATAGCTGAAAATTCGAAAATATTCATTATCACACTAATATTATAAAGGCGAAAGTTTGTGAGTGTGTATGTTTGTTACTTCTTCACGTCTAAACGGCTGGAGCGATTTTATTAAAATTTGGTATATAGTCAGCTGACACCCTGGATTAACACATAGACTACGTTTTACTGCGGGGAAATATCTTATTCCCATGGGAAAAACACATTTTTTTTTCATAAGTCGCGGGTAACACCGCGGGGCACAGCTAGTATTTCTTATGATTAAAACAGAAAATGGAAGCAACAAGAAGGAATCACTTGAAAAATTATGTTATGGGTTGATAGTGGTGAAGCTTTTCAATCAGCAACAGAAAAACCATTCTTTTAAAGCTGTCACAGTATAGTTAAGTAATTGCTGATAAAAGCTTAATGCATGATAAAATACATATTATATTTTTATTTTAACCGTATAACTGCTAGATTTTGTCTGATTTGATCTGGGATGAAAAGCAGTGCAATCAAGTCTGGTGCATTTTATCATCCATCTTGTGAATTTTTGTCAGTAAAAGCGTAATTTGCCTTGCAGGTGAGCCATGTGAATCAGTCCCTTGCCCGAACAACGTGACAGGCAGTGCTATGGCGGCTACGGCTGCTTGCGCCGGCCCCAGCGGCAGTGGCGGCGGTGGGTCCCCTCCAGTGCCGGCGGCCGCGCCCGCTACGACGGCCGGCCATCACAGCCCCTACGACTTGCGCCGCAAGTCGCCCCCCGCTTACCACGAGCCCGGACCTTCGGGCACTTGCTCTCTACCCGCCAGGAAAAGGCCCAGGACGTGAGTTTTATTTTCTTTCAACTCAACTAAAGAGTTGAACTGTAATACTGCAGTAGGCTAAATCCGATATCCAGTTTGTGCAGTAGCTATACAGACCCCAGCTCCAAAGGTCTTGCTCCTGGATTCAAAACTGTTTAGGGGCATTTATGATGAGCATCAATATTTGTATCTGTGTCACAGAGGCTTATAACTTTGCAATATGAACTAGTAATCATTTTTAATACAACAGGAATTCCAACATAATGTTTTTCACTACATGCCTCCAACAAAACAGTACAAAGGTGTGAGTGAAATAAGACATTGAAACAAAGTAGAGAATTATTATTAGTACGGTATACATTTAGGGCGTCCGCATCACTAAGCGGGGCACGGAAAAGGCCGGTGCCGCTCGCAGCACTGCCAGTTTAACTTCAATTGCGTGGGTGAACAAATCCCACCAAACACCTTCTTGGTTATGCAAGCCGAAGCAGTGGGAGATACGCTCGGAACGGGAATGCGCGGGTGAATAGTCGCTAATGGATTATTTTTGTTGATAATACTACCTAGTTATAAGAGAACTCAAAAGAGAGCATAGAAGCAAGCATGCGTAGCGCCGCGTGAGGCGGGTCTTTGAAACAAGCACGCCGTGCGGACGCCCGCTCCGTGCTCTGCTTAACGGAGCGCACGCTCTTAAGCTTTATTCACGTATGGTCTAAGAGACACGCGTACAGACATTAAAAACTTAAATTGAACTGAAATTCGAAATTTCCTAACTAGAGAATGACTTTAGCGTAAGCACAAACAACCTTTTTCATTGTTTATAACAAACTTCCATATAAGGCATATTCTGAATAGCTATTTTATTCTAATTTCAGATTAACAAATACTCAGTTCGCTCTTGATTAGATGTATGAAATAGAAGTGTCCGTATAATACTTGGGAACTTGTTTTATATGATATTCCCAACTATTTTGATTCTTTTTTGAAATTTTATTGATTGATATTATTATAATTCTTATTAGTATTAACCAAGACAATTTTGAATGCATAAAATAAGTTTTGTAAAAGTCTGGGACAATATATAAGGTCATTCAACAGATAAACATAGTGGTGAATGCAAGATCTTTTAATAAAAAAAATTGAAATCAGTACATAATCAAAATTACATAAGCTACATAAAATCTTGATATTTAATATCAACTATCCAACTGATGATAGAAATTATATCCTAGCCATACATGCTAGCTTAGTTACTTTCACTTTCCCAGATCAAAACAGTTCTTACAAATATCCTATTATAAAAGACAATCTACAACTTGGAGCTTTGCACACATTAAATATTAAAATATTTGTTTCGACAATGATGTCAATTCTACCATGATTCTCTAAATTTAATATCAGTCTGTCCTTTTCATACTGTGTAGAGAATGACAAAGATACATTATTTTTAAAGGACATGGTAAAGTTTTGTATGAGCGATTGCCCTGGCAATGTATAAATACTGTACTTAGTAATATTTTATGGCAAATGGCTGAATATTTATAATTTCTATGAAAAAAAGCTCAGGAACTTTTGATAAAGTCACAATCTTGAAAATTTGAGAACTTCTACTATGTCTTTACCTTACGATAAAAGATGTTGCCAATTATTTACAGAGTCATCAATTTCGCATTGTCTTAGAATCTTTCTTCCCATTTCTCTGATTATATTGTGAAGAGTTCACAAAAATTGTGTTTTAAGAAAAAAATAAATACAAATAATTTGTTATCGGCGGCCTGACAGGAAATCAGTGAAGTTTTATTTTGTTCATTTGCAAAAATTAAAGGATTAATTATCATACAGCCTTGTCTTAAGCCTTATCAGAATAATAAAACCTTTTATTTTAGGCCTTCGGTGATTTGTTTTGATAAAAATTAATGCCAAATAGGTCAAAGTTTGAAGGAGTTTAGAAATAATATTGTTTATTTCGATATACTTACACAAATATTTTGTTGTGAACATTTATTGTTCATTTATTTTGTAAAATGAAACATTTTACTTTTTAAACAGACATGAAGTAAATTTTTATACTTTTAAATATTTGATTATTTCACTAAAGTTGTATTAGAATAATAAACACGTAATAATTCATAAATAAAATATTGTAAAGTTACTGGCTAGTGCGAAATATTTATACATGTTAAGGGCTGTTTCTTAGCCATGTCCTTTAAGTTTAGGTTTAGAGAATCATCCCAGAATCATCAGCAAAGTTGTTGTATTAATGTAAAAGTCTAAACTTTTTGCATTAATTATTAAAGTCTTTATTATTAAAGAAGATTAATACTTGTTTATGTTTTGCCCACAGATCATTGTCTCAGGGCGTGGATGTGTGCAACGTGTCTCAGTATCTACAGTATGAGCTGCCTGATGAGGTGCTCTTGTGTATCCTGTCTCATCTCACCGAGCGAGATTTGTGTCGCGTCGCTCAAGTGTGCAAGCGGTTCAACACTATCGCCAATGATACTGAGCTATGGTAAGTGAAGAAGGACGTGTTTGGGTGTTTCTTTTTGCGAAGGGGGAAGAGCTTTCACATATTGCACCGCAGCAGCAGTCCCGTGTAATTAATCACACATGCCGCGTTGTCTGCAGTGCTGCAGCTGTCATCGCTAAGTTTGAGAATCGTAGTAATAAACTGATACGCCGCCGCAGTACGGATGTAGCTCTCCAATCGCGCGTTTTTTGTTTATATGGTTTAACAAAGCAGCACTGCGGCAAATTTGAAGGAAAAATATTCGTTGCTGCGTTAGCTGTAAGGAACTGCTACAAATTCATATACCACCTTATAGAACATGCTGGAAAATCGGTGCCAATCCTGCTCAGCTGCTGGAAAAACGAGACCGCAACAATTTAATAGGTGTTGAATCTATAAATGCGAGTGAGTCGCGAAGTGTGGCGTCTTATAATCTTGTGCCATCCCCGATTGTGAAAGGATTGTGGCTCTAAGAAAATAAATAAATAAAAGCTTTTATTATTTATAGCCAACTAAAGTACAGAATGGAGATGATCCTTGAAGAAAATTATACTTTTTATATAAAGTATTATTCTCAATTTAGATAGTGATTTTTGGTAATAGCAATCCGGCAATAAAGTTCTTATGAAACTGTTTAAAGATTTACTTCTAACCTAGCCTATACAATGCGACCAAGATCTTTATGAAGTTGGCGAAAATTGGAACTGACGGTCGTTTTTGTAAACGTCATGTTTTATGGTCAATTACGTAGACAGTGGTGTCGTTTCTGGCATGATTATCTAAAATTAGCATCTGTCTCTCCTTTTCATTCTGAATAGAAAATGACAGGGATACACTGTTGTAAAATTTTAGTTTAGAGAATTATGCCGGATTCAACACCACTGGCGCTCGCCCTCCCTGAACCGTCACTTACAAGATCTTGGTCACACTGTAGAACCTACATTGGTTTTCTTTCTTTCAAAGTGTACTCTTATCTATTCTGCCAGAAAGGACTTGCAAACAAAAACTTCAGCTTTCTTAGCAACTACCGCCATCAGTACCACTTTATAGATACCACAACAAATCTATCAAATTCCAAGCACCACATTCAAGATCTACCATTTACTTCCAACAGGAAAAGTTTATACCAATCTGTGTTCGAGTACGATACGCCATTAATGCACCCGGCGCCGTGCCAGTTTGAGTTCGTGCCCGCCGACGAGTGCGAGGCGGACAACCCGTGGAAGGAGAGCTTCCGACAGCTTTACTACGGCATCCACGTTCGACCCAACTACCGTCCCAAGAAGGATTCCAGGATCAAACACTTCAACACTATCAGGGTGAGATTAATTAGTTTGTTTAATTGGTCTTACAAGAGACTTGTAAGTATGAATGCGATTCTTAGCTTTGTATGTAAGTTGTTATGAACGAAAAATGTATTCTTATATTCAATTTCTTCTGAGACAAAAGATAAACAATCCATAAATAGGGTTTTCAATGGATCTAATTTAATATGCAATTAAAATTACATTAAAAATACCTAAAACTGTAGCTATGCTCAAACTTTAAATGCGTTAGAGTACTAAATTGAAAAGTAGTGATGAAAGAAAATAATTTACGTTAAAATGTAAAATTTTTGTAATGAGTCTGCCACCTATTGGTTTATTTGTTTACCTTTTCTCTCACAACAGTTTCTAAGCAATTATGAGTTTTAATTTTGTGGCAGTTGTACTAATTGTTGAAGACACTACAAGATAAGAACATTTAAACTGCAGCTAATTTTTCTTAGTTATGAATTTTTATCAAAGTTGTTTTCATGCTTATATTTGTTTTGGTGGTGGTATTTGTAACATATTATTTAAAACTGCAGCTTTTATTAAATAATTTTACAAAACTCAGTCAAACGGGCACTGTGATTGCAGTAGGTGTGCAGTTCCAATGACTGTTACTTAGCATTCTCATTGTGGTTATTTCAACTGCATTAAAAGTAAATCTGACTGAAATGTAATTTGCAAATCGGAGTGCAACTCTACTAACTAGAGTCTACTGCTGGCTTTTCACATGGCTATTTGTAAATTTGACAACAGTCTCTCCTTTAAATTCATGATATACTGTAGTCAAATGTACAATTAGCAAATACGATTGGCCTACCGCCTATCGGGATCGCTTTGGCTTTCTGCTGGCTGGCTGGCTTATGATTTTATTTTGTTATTTCTGACCTAGTTATCAAATGCCTCGCGTTTTTGCATTCGTAATAACAGTATTAAAGAAAATGAGCGCGAGGTATTTGATAACCTTCGGCGGAAATAAATGAAATCGAAAGGTATAGCAATAGCCAAAGATATCCCTACAGGCGGTGGGGGACTCGCGCCTATTGGGATTGCTTTGAGGAATGGAATGTTAATGAAATACTTATGTGTGTAGAAATAGGTTTCTGTATTTACATACGCGGTGAAGTCCCTCAACGGGGATCTCGCGGTTCCGCACTTAACAGCGTAGAGGGTATTCGCAGGGTTTTTTAGCGAATATTATGCCGTAAGCGCTCGTAACCTGCGCGGACTGCTTCTCCGTTTCGCACCCGTGAGACTTGCGAGAGGCTAGGTGTGAGGTCCGTACCCCTAGCACGAACCAATATCGAATTCGTATCGTTTGTGAGTCCGAAATGTCATTGTCAAATGTGTACTGATTTTTAGTTCTTGTTACGTACTTTATGACGCTGCTGTTCAAGTTACAATACAAAATTTGACATTGACATTTCTGTTTGCAAACTATTCGAATTCGATAATGGTTCGTGCTAGGGGTACCTTTCGTTGGTGTGCCGTAAATAGAGGTTTTGCCTGCGTAATGAAAAAAAAAAGGTTTCTGTATTTACATAGTAGATGTGACTGAAGGCACCTCTGTGTCTGTCATGTGCAGGCGGCTCTCGAGTACGTGGAGGAGCGCGTGGGCGGCAGCGGCGCGGCCACAAGCGGGAGCGGGGCCGCGGCCACGAGCGGAGCGAGCGCGGGAGCGGGCGCGTGCGCTTGTGGTGGGGCCGCGTGTTCGTGTCGCCGTCCGCCCGCGCCCCCGCCCGCGCTTCTGTTCGTCCACGCCGGCCTCTATCAGGAGGAGTGCCTCGCTATAGACGCGGACGTGCAGCTCATTGGTGAGTGCCCTCCCCTTCCTCCAGTCCTATACCATAGCGTAACATAAATAACATCTGTTCCAGAGCATGAATTCGAACTCTATGCGGATTGGTGGGTGCTATGCTAAAAACAGAGGCAGCTTAACTAACCTTCCAGAGAATATGGAGGCTTGAGATAGTAAATTTTGCATCATTAATTCCAAAATTGAGGCCATTGCGAAATGTGTTTTACTTTCACGATCGCGCCATATCGAGACCAAACGCGTTAACGCTTGCACCTGTAAAGGATCTGAAATCAAGAATAATGAAAAAGATAATAAATCGCGCTCTATATAAGCAAACAAAAGGTTTATTAAATAATAGTCGTGTGTGTGTGAAAACATAAAAAATAAAAACTTGATCATTACCACAACCATTATTTGTTTACTAGGTGGCTTCAATCTATCTATCTTAAATTTTCTAACGGCTTCTCTCCCTGTAGCATATCTCTGCATCCCGTTAATTCCATCCTGTTGCCGGATGTCATCTATCCATCTTTTAGGTCGGCTAGGTCTTTCTCAGCTGTGGGTGTAGTTGCGGGGTCTCCAATCTAGGCTCTTACTTTGGCTTCAATCACGTAGTATATAATGTCACCAAACCAATGTATAATAAATTATTAAAGACCCTGATGTGGATTATGACTCTATCCAAATAAATACATATAGAAAATGTAAAGGGAGGAGAAAACTTGCTGAGTTTCTTCCGGTTTTTCTCAGACAAGGCTTTCTGGTAGACTCTTGAATCAAATTTACCTTTAATAAGCGTGCAAATTGTACCTAAATGAATAAAGAAATTTTGACTTTGAATGTTATAGAAATAAAAAGTATTATTTTTATTATCTTTTTCCAGGTTGTGCCCCCGGCAACGTAGCCGAGTCAGTGGTTCTCGAACGCGAAGCGGAGTCCACATTGACATTCGCTGAAGGCGCGAATCGAGCGTACGCCGGACATATGACGCTCAAATTCTCACCGGATGCAACTAGTACTATGCAGCACCACAAACATTATTGCCTGGAAGTCTCCGATAACTGTTCTCCCACCATTGACCACTGCATCATCAGGAGTGCCAGCGTTGGTGAGTCGACTCTCAATTCAATTCAAAAATCATTTATTCAGTTTAGGCTTTTACAAGCATATGTCAAAGTCGAAAACTACGCCATCGGTTCGCAAATCAAAGGCGGACCTTGTACTGTGAAGAACCTCCAAGAAAGTCAGCAAGGGCTGCTTTTATCTCTTTGTTTTATTTTGTACAGTGTCTCCAAATTGAAAGTTGACATCAAACTTGCAAACATGTGTCATGAGGTCAACTTCCATCACATAATGTAGAAACGTTGTATATCATACGAGCGGCAGCCCGCGACTTCGTCTGTGGTAACTTTAGTTTTTTTTGGAATCTCACAGGGACCTAACGTTTTGCCGGTATAAAAACTTTCCTCGTGTATGTCTCCAATATGCATACCAAATTTCATCTAAATCCGTGCAGTAGTTTTTGCGTGATTGAGTAACAAATATACAAACTTACATTTAATAATAATAAATATTTCCAACACTCACACCAATTAGCCTAGCCCCAAAGTAAGCCCTGTAAAGCTTGTGTTATGGGATCCTAGGGTAACGGATAGAATACATATACAGTACATATTTAAGTATATTTATATATAAATACATATTAAACATCCATGACTGCAGTACAAATGCTCGTATTAATCACACAAACATCTGCCCCCACGCGGATTCGAACCCGGAACCTCTCGAGTCGGCGACACCATGAAACCCGGCGTATAAACCACTCGACCACGGAGGTCGTCAAACATTTATAATATTAGTAGAATTAAGAGAGGTAGGGCAAAGCGGATTTTCCGCTCGAATTGGGACGCTCGTCTGGGGAAGTAACCTCCACCTTACAGAAGATCACAGTAAAAAAACACTACCTTTTGGAGGGGTTGTGTTTCTGACAGTGAATAAGGTAACAATAAGGTAAAGGTAATAAGTAACAGTGAGAGTAATATTTTTGCTACCGCAAGCATCTATAGGGTATGGTGGTCGCTTACCATCAAGCAGGCCGTAAGCCACCCTTTTAACATAAAAAAAAACATTGTGTACTAGCAGGGTAAGGAAAAGATGATGTCTGATAACTGCATCTTGCTTGTAACTCAAATTTCTACACCAGACTTCAGACCTCTTTGGTGGGATGGAGTTATTTCCCAAGTCAACTAATAACGACAAAAAAAACATTTTCACTTATTTTCGTGATCTGAGCTTATCTCTTACTTAATCATCATCATCAGTCTATAAATGCCCCCACTGCTTGGCCATAGGTCTTCCTTGTGGATGGAATAGGGAGATTGGGCCATGACCCACCACGCGGGCCAAGTGCCGATTGGTGATTGCGACGACTGCATATGCAGCCAACGACTAAACGTACCTTCCAAAGCACGCAGGAGCTCGAGATACAAAATTTTTGGTCACCAAAAATTGTCATTCCTACCAAGCTGCGAAAGTTGCTTAACTTCAACGTTCGCAGCCGAAAACGCTGACCACTTAAGCCATCGAGCTATACTCATCACTTAATAGAAATAAGGTAATTGTAATGTTAATATAACACAGTCTTCTCTTTTTATCGTAAGCCATATTGCGGCAACCCAAATTCACCCAACCATACTAATATTATAAAGGCGAAAGTGTGTAAGTTTGTATGTTTGCTACTTCTTCACGTCTAAACGGCTGGAGCGATTATAATAAAATTTGATGTGGAGTTAGCTAACACCACAGATTAACACATAATAGGTTTTACTGCGGAAAAATATCCCTAATAAACCGCGGGTTACACCGCGGGGCATAGCTAGTATCCAATAAAACACAGACTTATTAAGTTTGTTTCTCGCAGTTGGCGCAGCGGTTTGCGTAAGCGGAGCGGGCGCTAATCCGGTGATCAAGCATTGCGACATTAGCGACTGCGAAAACGTCGGTCTATACGTGACGGATTACGCGCAAGGGGCGTATCAAGACAACGAGATATCGCGCAACGCTCTCGCCGGAATATGGGTGAAGAACTTCGCGAACCCAATAATGCGTCGCAACCACATCCACCACGGAAGAGACGTCGGGATATTCACGTTTGAGAATGGACTGGTAAGTACCTACTAATCATCTACACCAATAGTCTGATGAACTCGAGATATCGCGCAACGCCCTCGCCGGCCATATCGGTGAAAAACTTCGCCAATCGGATCATGCGCCGATGCCATATACACCACGGAAGAGACGACCGGATATTCACATTTGAGAATGGATTTGTAAGTTTTCTTTTATTATTTCGGATTTTTAGGGCTGGACTGTATAGTCCTAAATATCTATAATGGTACTGTAACAAGTAGTCAGTGCGACCTAAAATATCTTATTTTGACTTGCCAGCAAGTTCAAGTATCTCTTATAGCCAGACAGCTTCCAAGAGGCTCAGAAAGTTTCTAGCTTTATGAGATTTGATTTCCTCTGTATGTTGAACCAGATGATGTTTTCGACATGTGTGGATTAGAGATTCACACATACATAGAAGGTGTGGTGGTAAGCTGGAAAAGAGTTTTATAATTATCTCTGCTGCATTGCATCTGGACTAAATTATATCACAAATTTAAAGTTTTAAGTGTTTCAAATGTTTATGTATTAAAGCCCCACTATTGAAGTTTATCGATTTGTTCACAGGGCTATTTTGAGGCAAACGACATACACAACAACAGAATCGCCGGCTTCGAAGTGAAAGCGGGTGCCAACCCAACAGTGGTACATTGCGAAATACACCACGGACAAACGGGCGGCATTTACGTTCACGAGTCCGGTCTAGGCCAGTTCATAGACAATAAGATCCACTCGAACAACTTCGCCGGCGTTTGGATAACGTCCAACAGTAATCCCACCATTCGCCGCAATGAAATATACAATGGACACCAGGGCGGCGTGTATATATTTGGAGAGGGACGCGGACTTATCGAGCACAATAATATTTATGGGAACGCATTGGCTGGAATTCAAGTAAGTTCTTGATAGAGCTTACATACAATACGTCATTATATTATGTCGTATTCTTCTTATGGTGCGTCTCTTTTACTAGAGGTTGGCGGTCAGCTCTGGCATATATGTCTTTATCTTGAGCCAGAAGAAATAAGTCTAAGGAAATTAATTTGTGGAGCGCTTTCTTTATCATACATTATTTTACAAAAGATAAGGATGCAAAACTTAACTAGGGTATTGTTCTTGGTTTAACAAAAGGTTACTTCCTCCTATGAGATGAAAGTTAGTACTGGCTATTCTTATTGTCAATGTTTATAGTTATTTTCTATGCCAATGTCCATTCTCTATTCTTGTCACTTCTTTTATAACTGCCTTTACATACTTTTTCTGCTCTTCATATTTTGTATATTGAACCTTTTTCAATATCTAACTCTTTACTCTAACCATTTCCTTTCTCTTCCTCGACGTAGACAGGCGCAGAAACTGTCTTCATTTTCTACTAATTATAATAGGTAGTTTAACGCATACAATTTACATTACAGATCCGCACAAACAGCGATCCTATAGTAAGGCACAATAAAATCCACCACGGTCAACACGGAGGCATTTACGTCCACGAGAAAGGCCAAGGGCTAATAGAAGAGAATGAAGTGTACGCTAACACTCTAGCCGGTGTCTGGATCACTACAGGCTCCACGCCGGTACTGCGGCGCAACCGGATCCACTCGGGGAAACAAGTGAGTCACATTGGCTATGTCATTATAATATTTTTAGGGTTCAGTACCTCAAAAGGAAAAAACGGAACCCCTTTCAGTGTGAAGAGGTAACGGACAGGCAGACAGAGGGCACTTTTGCATTTTTAGTATGGATATGGATTACTTGTATGTGAAAATTAGAATTATCTAACAAAGAATCTTTTTTATCTCCACAGGTCGGCGTTTATTTCTACGATAACGGCCATGGGAAATTGGAAGATAACGACATATTCAATCACCTATATTCTGGCGTACAAATCAGAACAGGGAGTAATCCCGTAATTAGGGGAAATAAAATCTGGGGTGGCCAAAATGGGGGCGTCCTAGTGTACAACGGGGGCTTAGGTTTATTGGAGCAAAATGAAATATTCGATAATGCCATGGCTGGAGTATGGATAAAGACTGATTCTAATCCTACACTAAAGAGAAATAAGATTTTTGATGGCCGAGATGGAGGCATCTGTATTTTTAATGGAGGAAAGGTGAGTAATGTTAATTTCGTATTATAAATAATGGTAACTCGTCTCGTAATTTCTATTAAAGTTATTATTTACTATTCATTGAATTAGTAATTAAATTACAAAAGTAATTAATTATGCCCAACACTGCTCTTCTCTATACAATATCTCAGTTTAGATTTACATGCAGCATTTCTAGTTTTGAAACAAAGGAATTTGCAGTACCATTAGCTTAACCAATATTGAATTCGTATAGTTGAATTCCATCTCGATATGCGTCAAATGTCAAGAAAAAGTTTTCTATAAATAAATATAAAACTTCTTGAGATTTGACTTGTATCTAGATCAAATTCAACTTTTCGAATTCGTTATTGGTTCGTGCTAAGGGTACATCACTCTGACAACAATTTATCTTATCAAATGTGCTAAGTATAAGTAACCCCAGACAAATCAGTCAGATTAAGATTAGAAATAGCATACCATCAAAGACATTAAAAACGAACAAAAAAGGCTACGGAAGGTCTTTTGTCACTGTCTTTATTAGTTTACATAACTTTTTATATTTTTACTTTTAAATTGTACAATCGTGTTACTTTAATAAGAACTATTTATTAACTAGCGGCCGCCCGCGACCTCGTCTGAACCGTCGTCGAACCTAACTTTCTCCCGGGGTAAAAAGTATCATATGTCTCAATCCAGCCCATAAACTGTAGGCGTACTAAATATCATCCAAATCCGTTCAGTACTTTTTAGGTGATTGAGTATCAAACACACACCACTTTATTTCAAGACGCGGACTTAATTCAGTCGTAGTTTAAACCTAATGTGGTCTATGCCTTCTTTTTAGCAAGCAAAAGTAACATCAACCGCTTTAGTTCAGCTGTAACTTTAGTCTACGTTCTGTAATAAGGCTGACAATTTTTCACATTTAAATATTAGTACAATAATTCGATGTTCCAAATGAAGTTATATTATATAATTATTTCGCCATCTCTCCCACTTCCTTCTAATCCTCTCCATCCAAAGGTTGCCTGGAAAAGATCGCTTTAAGTAATAAGGCCACCCATTGCTTCATGTACTTGATGGTTTTGTACTTAAAGTTCAATGTTTTTTGTGGTTGTACACCACATATATAAAGAGTTTTTGTAATGTATTATTATCGATTACCATCCCCACAGGGCGTATTGGAGGAGAACGACATATTTCGCAACGCGCAAGCGGGCGTTCTAATCTCAACGCAAAGCCATCCGGTGTTGCGACGGAACCGGATCTTCGACGGTCTCGCGGCCGGTGTGGAGATCACGAACAACGCGACGGCAACACTAGAGCACAATCAGATATTCAACAATCGCTTCGGCGGTCTGTGCCTAGCTTCGGGCGTGTCGCCGTTAGTTCGCGGCAACAAGATATTCAACAACCAGGACGCTGTAGAGAAGGCGGTCGGCGGCGGACAGTGCTTGTACAAAATCTCTTCTTATACGTCCTTCCCGATGCACGATTTCTACAGGTAAATAATAATAAATATTTCCAACACACCAATTAGCCTAGCCCAAAAGTAAGCACTATAGGGCTTGTGTTATGGGATAGTAAGGTAACGGATAGAATACATATTAAACATCCATGACTGGAGTACAAATGCTCGTATTCATCACACAAACATCTGCCCCTCCGGGATTCGAACTCGGGAGCTCTCGAGTCCGTGACACGGTGGAAGTCGTCAAAGGTGAGTTGTTTGATGGATTGTTGAAACTTTACCTAAGTGGTAACTGAATAACCAGAAGAATTTTTATTTTGGGTCGAAATTGCTCAGCAAATTGTATGTTTTTCATTTGTTGTTAAAAATGTTTTCTTTTTTTTTAATCAATAATATTATTATGATGATATTTTTCCAATCATATTAATCTAAAAAAATGTCCAAAGTTCATACAAATAAAATGTGATAATATAATACGTCTTTGCTTGTTGCAGGTGCCAGACATGTAATACGACAGACCGTAATGCCATCTGTGTAAATTGCATCAAAACGTGCCATTCTGGACACGATGTAGAATTCATTCGCCATGACAGGTAATTAAAATATGCATTATTTTTATTACAAATAGTAGGAATGCCACTCGTCTAAGCCCAAAGAATGAAAAACTGTGTCACACAAGCACTAGGGTGAAACATAAGAATCTCTCAAAAATGAGAATTTACAGCCAAGTAGTATGGCTCGATTACACTTGGTCGTGAACCCGAATGGGCCATGGAATTCGAGTAAAGGACTCGGTGTTAATGAACGAAGTCGAATACGCCCGTATTCGGGTAGTTATCGTTATGGTTACCGGCAACCGTCTTCCAGCACGTATTCCAGTGTAAATATTGTCGAATTCAAGTAATGTCTTTCGTGTACCCGAATACGGGTTAACGACCAAAAGTAATTGAGCCAATAGTCACTAAAGGGGTTATATTTTTTTAGCATATAACTGCTCGATGTTTAAATCTAAAGGAAATATTACTAGAAGGAAATCCACGCGGCTTAGGCAGCTGACAGAGGCGGTAGCATAATGGTCAGTGCATTCGACCGGATAGCGCAGGGTGCGGGTTCGAGTCCCGTCTGCTGAGATCACTCAAACATTCTCCTGTCTGAGGGCCTAGCGCCTAACGGGATTGGTATATCTATATATATTAACAATCATTAATTAGATACCTGTCGAAAAAACGACTCTTTACGTACTATAAGTATTTCGCAATTTTTGACAGAGCTCTGCGGCATCTTAACTTTTCAACAGTCCACGCGTGACTGAACCAACAAGTGCTTGACTCGTGTTCAAGCACTTCTTGAATAGGACACATTTTGAGCGCACGCGGTGTATCTAGGGTATTTAATATCGTTGACTCCGTAAATCATCCAATGTACTTTTTGATCAGGTTTCGGCCACGATTATGTTCCTTGTTGTTGTATCTAGGGCATTTAATATATATCGTTGCTTCAGATATAGAAATCGAGGATTCAAACATTATTACATTTTTATTTTAAGTAGTTAGCTAGATTTGTAATTCCCAAAAAAAAAAATGAAAATTCTTCACATACAAACTTTATCACCTGTTATAGATTCTTCTGCGACTGCGGTGCCGGTACTCTATCGAACCAGTGTCAGCTCCAAGGCGAGCCCACTCAGGACACGGACACACTGTACGACTCGGCCGCTCCCATGGAGTCGCACACGCTCATGGTGAACTGAACCTAAACGCCCCACCTAACCACACCACACTATACCACCAATACATTGCGATTCAAACTAAAAATACCCGCTGTTAAGTACGTAGCGCGAGTCACGGCGCAGGAAATGAAATGTAGCCGATGTACAGTGCGACAAAGATCTTGTGGCACTTAGGCCCGTATTAATCGATCGCTCTCAACTATGAGACTACGATCTTGAGACACTCTTTTCATACAAAGCAGCATCTTGATCGCGATCTATAAATACGGGCCTTAGAAAACATTGATAGGAGGGCGCTGGTTGTGAATTGAGGATTACTTAGTGCAAGTAAGTACGTAAAATCTCCTCACTTTTAGGGAACGTTATAATTTGTAATAGGAATTATGAAAGGCGTATTTACACCTTCCTATATAAATAAAAAGGCTGAATACCTTTGTAAAATTAATTATTCCCCGATTTCGGCCAAGTGCCACAAGATCTTGGCCACACTATAGACGCGGAGTATCACCGAACTGGAATCTGCGCATTATTGGTTTGCAGCTAACTTCATAACCGCAGTAAAGTTTGAATCGCACTATACCAACTTTAACAATAGAGGTATAAGTATAGAGTGGGGAAGGTGGCCCTAAAAGTGTCCGTCTAGTAGAAAGAGAAAGAAGATGAGAGTCGGCTAGCTATCTCTCGCTCTTGTGACGCATGGCATCCATTGGCATCACATCGAAATAGTATGATGTTTATGGATGCCAATGCGCATGCGCGATTAGAGAGAGAAAGCTAGCAGTCTCTCATCTTCTTTCTCTTTCTATTAGAGGGACACTTCCACTTGTAGTAGAGTCTTATATCTCCCTACTCTATTCTTATACCTCTATGACTTTAACTCACCCGGCGCACCGAACGTACGACGCTTATTACCCTGTTTACGAAACGCCTAGCGGTAAATCAATGCTAAGCATATTTGTATGCGTGATTGTGTAATTGATGTATAGGGCCCGCCGAGCTCGGGGCGACGCGTTTATTTGTAACGTTTTTAACGGTTAACCTTTCGGACGCGATTGTAATTATGGATCTCCTATATAATGTAATTACGAGGAAACATTGAGCTAAATTATAATTAATTAATTGTTATAATTCGTGCCTAATTCTCTTTGAAATTTTGACAACAGTATATACTTCTCATGCTCGATAGAAAATTAAAAGGAAAGGTCATATTTAAAGTTGATCCGGCTGAATCTGGCCGCCATTGGATTTATGTGTTGTGAAATGAACCTTAATGTCCCACCTCAACCTATTTCAAGTGATTATACCATCATACAGATTATCAACTATTACTAGTGTAAGGGACAGGGCTAACCAACCAATATTAAGGTGATCAACAATGATCTATTTATTGAATTCGCTTATTATATTTGGATATTATTTAGGAAATAACCACGCGTGCTATGTAAAGTTGTATTTTTATGAGTGAGATGTAGTTTTTTAAGCTTTCCGATAGCTTTAACTGAATAAACTATGTGATGTCAAGAAGATTGTCTCCTTTTGTCCACTGTGACGTAATTTGTGTATGACCATAACAAAAAAAAAGGAAAAAGCAATAATTTTATACAAAAGCAATAAACTCCATAATATTATTAGTATCTCGGTGCCATACATGGCACTGCTATGCGTTAGTTTGTGCAATAGCGTTTGAAAGGTTAACGAGACAGATTTGGACGACCATTCTCAATGATTGTTTTAGGTGACATTACTGAAATGAATGTTGTTGTGTATGTAAATAAAATTAATGTTGCCAGCCATTGATGCTTAAGTCTGTCCTAGGAAACTCGAGTTTAAAGAGTTATCGCTTATTGAGAATGGTCTTGTTGTTCCTTGGATAGATTTTTATTCTTAAAAATATTGTCTAGCCATATATAAGACGCCTGAAATGTAAACTAAGTTAAGACGCGACATGCAATAGAGAATGCAGAATACCGACAATGGCACTTAGTTAATGTAAAAATCGGGGTAACTGTACATTACTTGTGATGATTCCACTGCATTCTCTAAGAAACGTTGTACATGAAACTGTATATTTTAGCGATTGGAATCAATATGACAAGATTTTATAACAAGACTTTTATCTCAAATCCCTTTCCACAATATTTCTATGACTTCCCAAAATTGTAACTTTTCACTTTCATTGAGCATGTTGAATTTAAATTCTAAAATATGCAAGTTTGTGTTAGTATTCTATATTGCTATTAAATATGACTGTTTCATTCATAAACGAAAAGGATCTGAATTCAATATCTATATGCTTTGTCACTCTTTTGGGAATAGAGAAAAACGAAACGTCATTTGTGAATGAAACTTTGGATATAATATTTTTTATGAATAATCATCTGTCTTGATCCGAGAATCTGTCTCTAGTTTTAGCTATTGCTCGCCATCGACGTTCCCTTGGCAAGCCGTCCTTCACCCTAGTGTATTTTTATTACATTATACCCCTCCTTCTCCCCCTCAAGTGGACGATTTCCACCGATCGTCGCGGAAGCCTCCTATCGCTTTGTAGTTTACGAAACTTTTCACTTTTGTAAAGCGTCACACTATCTGTACATTGTAAGGTTTTGTTTTTTAATCATTGGTACTTAATAATTATGTATTTTGTCAAGTAGTGTCATGCATTCCCAAATTGTAATCATATTATGGTATCGAGAGATCACACATTGATATTTAGAATAATGTTATTCGTTTTGTAAGATGTAGGAACGTATTATAAAGTATCTACTATAGTTTCGTAATTATGAGGGAAAGGATTTATTTTTGTTTGCCTCGAATGAAAGTTTTATCGCTTTAGTGACTAGTATTCGATCCGGTTACGTGAGTCAGGATAGTTATGTTGTATTATAATTATTATTATGTTTAACCCTTTCACTTCTAGTATCGAGTTATGTCGTCATTAAACTATTAAAGCGGCTGCCATAAAACAAAACCGCTTTATCTGATTGAACGAAATAATTCGTTGGCCAAAATTCTTGTCAAAATATCTCAAATGTATGGACGTTTTACGTCTGACAAAAAACGCTATACCTGTAAGGTATAAACTAAGGCAATACTAGCCTTAAATAGTTGATAATATTAGATTTATTTATGACGTGTAAACTTGTTTTTAGTGTCAGTCGTGAAGGGGACTTTTTACAGCTACAAAAAATACGGCAGCACTATACAGTATGAGATATTTTGTACTAAATATATAGAATAATAATCTTATTTCACATGGTCTGCTCTGAGAGGGTTACTTTTTAATTTTTTAACTGACAAGGTTTAATTTTATTTTGGGCGTTCACCCCTTAGCAGTCCTGACAACGTAGTATTTGTTGAGACGTTTTGGTTTAGTGAAGTGAATATGTTTAGTCGGGGTAGGTGGCGTCGTCGCTCGGCAGCGCCGGAGTGTAGTGGCGCAGTCATTTTCTCGCAAGAGACTGCCTCGCCTAACTATATCGGCGCTTCTAACGCGCTTTGTAAATATTTATGTCACACAATAATCGAAAAAATGTAGCAATTAATGTATTTGTATCATTATATTTTTATTATTGATCACAACATGTATGTTTAATTATGGAATTATGTACGTTACGCTCAGAGGGTTTACAACCCGGCCCCGGGATATCATGACGGCGCGCGAGCGCCGGCGTTAGTGTATAATAAAATGCAAACTAAGAACGAATGTGCGTATTTAATTGGAAAAGATCTTAGGTACAATTGATATTTTATTATATTGTTAATTTAAATTTGGTATTGATATCGATCGAGAAGCAATGTTAAGAAACTGGGATGAGCCGTGTGTGAGCGGCCAGAGTGCTGATAGTGATAAGTTAGCCAATAAGCTATATGAAATCTAAATTACTCAGTAATCATCACTATTGCAAGTTTCGAATTGTTAAATCGTCTCTCCATAGCACGGTATGTTCTGAATCTGCTTTTTTATAATCTGTGATCATCGCTAAATGTGTAAGTGAATTATTTTAGTTGATACCCATGTGCAGAATTATTATGTCATCAAAATTATTGTGGCGCCGATGCTTTATATATATGAATGTGAAATTTGTTATTTATTGAATTGTCAGTATGTTCTTAATTTATTGAAATACAAATCTGGATATTTTGTTTATACTTACATGAAAATACCACTGTAAAAGCCGTGATATACATAATATAATATTATCAATCAGAATTTCATTTTACCACCCAAAAGTAGCTGCTGCAAGAGTCTATCTCCTCCACCAAGAAAAAAATATCCTTGCTAGAATGTACAGAATGGTCAAGTTAGTTTAAAATTAAAACTATTAAAATTTGCCTGCGCTTAATTTCGCTTGATATAAGATTACAATCTATTGAGAAAATTACTTAGGTCTTGTTTGTGGCTGTCTGTACATTATCCCAGCAGCTCTATTACACCACTGATGGATCACGTAAGTTTTATTATTCCCTCAGAAAAGAATAACGGAGTGCTTTTTTTTATCAAACAACTTTAACAAATGAGCTTCACACGAGGAAAGGAGACTAGCATCGAAATTTCCTAACTATAACAGTCCAGTTTTAGACAACTACTACCTAACAATAACAACTGAGGTCACTTTAATAGCCTGCGCAGACGAGGGACTTGTCCACCGTAATAGACCCGCTTAAAACTGCATGGAGTAACGCACACGACGGATTATAAGTCCTGCGTACAAATAGTCCCCCAATCAAAGGAAGACGTTGAAATTCCGTACAGATTCTGTTCACCGAACTAATGGGTTCGGCTTTTGATATAGGATATTCACAAGCCACTAGTTCTGTGAATAACTATGCTTATTATTTGTATCTGTTAGTTATAAAATAGCTTCCGCCCGCGTTTAAAATATTTTTTTGAGAATCCACATGACATTTTTGCAGGTTAATGACCTGCAAAAATGTCGTGGATTCTCAAAAATATATTTTAAACTATGTGTACCAAATTTCATCCAAATTTGTTGTCGTTTTTGCATAATTTAGTAACTGTAATGCCGCACTTCACTTGGCTATTCATGTTAGCTGTTTGTAAATTAGACAGAAGTGTGTACTTTTCATACCTCGTAAGCCCCTGTTCCTTAAATCCCTACTGCTCCAGACATCTCCACTAGTAGGGATCGCTACCAGTTGGAATATATGGAACTTTCGTCCCATTTATCGCTACCAGTTGGAATATATGGAACTTTCGTGTCCGTGATGCTAGCGTACGAACTTTCTATTCCATGTCCTATTAATTATCCCTACTGTTCCGCACTGGTAGGGACAATACTTTTGATTTTTTATTGAAGTAGGTAGTAAACAATTAATTGTCGTAATGAAATTATCAATTTTATTTGCGAAGTTGGTACAAGGAGCACTAATAAAATAGTATTCATTTTTTAGGTACATTTTTTTTTAATTGTGTTTTGTTGTTTAAATCGCAGGCAAAAGCATGTTGTATTAAAAAACGGCATCACTATGTTTTGGCGGTTCAACGTCAAGCCGGATTGCATTACGGCTTAATGAAATTGTATGAACCGTTTCTCGTTCTTCAATACGGCTTGCTGTAATATAAAAAAAAAACATACCACTATGTTAGTTTTAATCATATTTATTAATCAGATATAATCAAAAGTATGATTCAATTTATTCATTAATTCTATTTACAAATGGCCACTCGATTTCTTTAATCACACTTATATTAATACTATCTATTAGTCTAAACTTGATAAAAATATAAATCGTCTTATTTCATTACAGGCGTTTTTGCCGTGGTGATCTTCTTCTCGGCGAAATGTGAACTGCCCTCATAGGCGTATTAACTTTTCTAGAATCGATTATTGTTGATGCTGTACGCAAGTTTCTAGGGGTACACAATGGTTTTTTTAATAGCGGTGCTTGAGGAGTTTTCGCCAAGTTCGACGATTGTAGTGAAGTTACTTTTTTCGTTGGTGTTATTTTCTTGTTTAACCTCCAAGAATCGATCTCCTCTTTGGTATGAACGTTGAGCGATTTATGAGATCTGTTCTGCGCTGTTGAAGCTACATCTACTGTTCTCTGCATCCTTGCAGGAATACTAGGTGCGGCATCATGCAAATTCGATTGCTGAAGTTTGGGCTTGACGTGAGCTACAAGTTTGATAGGTTTAACCTGTGGATTCAACCTTGGTTTCCTCGCAAATCCAGTATGAGCATTTTTGTTGTGCCTCTCTGATGATTTGTCAGAGCTAGATTCGAATAATTTGGCTTTCGCCAGAACTGCCCCGGCATTTTGACGACGTAACTTGTTGACTGAAGGTCTACCGCTGTGACTGGAACTGTCCAACTCCCCTGTTTTGTCCATAAAGAAAGCTGCAGCACTGAGCCATTTCTGTTGCGTATGCTGTGGGCTTTGTTTACGAAGTTTACTGAGATTTTGGTTTCCTACTGCCTCACTGACATTTTGATATAACCTTGAAGCATCAGACTTACATGACTTAGTGCTTGAGTTCATTGTATTACTCATCGAACTTTCTGAATTAGTGTTATCCCAGCTATTGTCTACTACAGTCATATTTAAAGAACGTCGTGGTTGGAATTTGCCAATGGTTTTGTCTAAATTGTAGTCTGAGGCGAGACTGACTCTTTTTCGTAATTGATATTTTTTGTTATTGTTAGAAACGTTCAAAGAATCCCCAGAAACAGAAGCATCCCAGTCATTTGGCGTGGAGGTCTTCGCTGCTAAGTCTGGTTTCGCTGTACTAGTTCTATTTCTACGCGACAACCCAATATAGGGATAGAATCTGTCTCCATTTTGGCTCGCTTGAGAACGCGACGATGCGTTCCATGACTTATGCCTAACGATTTTGATAATATTTTCTTTGGAGCGCCGCCGTATTGAGCCAATTTTTCTGGCGCTCGGCGATCGAATTATCTTTGCTTCTTCGTTTGGTCTTATTTTCAGTTCCTTGCTCAAACGCCTCGCCAAATGATCAGAGTTAGGGCAATTCAACATTGCGACTTCTTCCAATGTTTGTTCATAAACATTCTGTACTTGCTGTAGTGGTTGCACCCTCGGTATGGCGTCAGTGAACTCCCTGGATAGTCTATTTTCTATAGCGGATACCCGGCTCTTGATTTCTTCGTATTCCTGTTTCGATATCCTGACATAATCTTTGTTCACTTGTCTCATATCAGGTGACAAATCGATTGTGTCATGTGCACTGAACAAATGTTCGGAAGAAGTTAACAAGTCTTCACTGCTAATACTGGTTTCAGAGTTTTTATGTGAACTGAAGTCGGAATTTATGACAGGTGTACTTCTCGCGTCCATCATGCTAAGTCGCAGTCTTTTACGCTCAGTCAAACCCCTGCAAAGAGAAAATATGAATTAAAGTACATATTAGAATTTTAAATTTGTTGATATGACAAATCTTTACTATGCAGTCTTCTTTACTTACATTTTCAGTGGGGTGAAGGATAGCTCTTTCTGTGGTAATCCTTGCGTTATCTCTTTCCTATAAATCAAACATGAGTTGTTAATATTTCTAATTCTTTCTAGAATAAAAGTATTTATTTACATTTAAGGATACAATAGAAACAAAAAATCAATTGGTGGCTACGTAGCTGAGAGGCGAGCATGCAGAACTGCAGGTTTATTTGTCGATTAAAAACAATGTTTTCTTTATTGTGTATAGTCAGAAAAGTGGTAGTAACGACGCATTGTTAACGGAAATTTTCATAACGGAAGGTTACGGTAATTAAAAAAAAAAGTTGTTTGTTGAAATTGTTAATGTAAATAGAGTAGGCCGGCAAAAAAATCTCCCAAATGATTTTTAACCTTAATAGATAATATAATCTATTAATAAAAAAAAATACATATTATGCAAAATCTAATGATCTGCCGTCCATACAGTACGATTGTTTGTTCCATTTTCGTGTCCGAGCCGCAGCCAAAGCTAGATTTAAACTGAGCTAGTTTAAATGTCATTTCTTACTTAGTTTTCGCAGAAAGCCCCTCATAGCTGTCGAATTTTCTTTTGGCGGCAGATTTGCTAAGTACTGGAGTTTTGGTGTTTTCTCTTACGGTAGCTGGTGTGTTCACAGTACCAGAGACCATTTTGCGTAGGCCACTTAGGACTCCTAAAGACAAAAATTATAATAATCAACTTAATAAACAAAAAGATTCAACCTTTTCTTAATAATTAATTTTTTTTTGGAAATTCCGATGACGCAGCCTGAAAAGGATGCGAAACTACATCACATTAATATTATAAAGGCGAAAGTTTGTGAGTGTGTATGTTTGTTACTTTTTCACGCCTAAGCGGCTCGAGCGATTTTAATAAAATTTTGTATGGACTTAGCTGACACCCTGGATTAACACATAGACTACGTTTTACTGCGGGAAAATATCCCTAATAAACCGCGGGTAACACCGCGGAGCACAGCTAGTAAATAAATCAGTGCATCTATACCGTTGAAACTTGTTTTATATAATGAGTGGTGTGCGTGAAAACCTAAGAAAAAGATATTGTTTTGGAGATGTTGAAAATTAAAAAAATATACATTACAGTAAGATCTCGGTAATATGGTGCGCTAATAATCCGCCACAGTAAAATAACACTACCTTCTGGTGGTGTTGTGTTTCTTTCGGTGAGTAAGGTTCCAGGACTCCACTGGGTAGGGGATTGGGTCGGGGTAGGCAACGATGCGAATGATATTATTTGTATCGCAAGCGTCCATAAGCTATGGCGGCCGCTTATCATCAGGCGAGCCATATGCTTGTTTGCTACCATTTATACATATAATAAAATGGTAGGAAAGTCAAAACTGTACATTGCATATTTTTTTAAAAGAATACTTGGGATGTGATCTACAATCGATACCGAAGCCAAAAATATAGTTTTTAGAATATTTGTCTGTATGTATGTCCGGGATAAACTGGAAAAGTATTGCATGAATTTACTTCAAATTTGGCGCGAATATTATTAAGAAGTCGGGTCAACATATAGGCTAAATATTATCACGAAACTCCACCCCTAAGGGGGTAATACGGGGGTTGGAAGTTTGTATGAAAGTCCTATGTTTTTGAAGTAGGAGACTTGAAATTTAACATGAATGCTCTATAGATGGTGTAGAGGTGTACTAATAATGTTTCTTTAGAAATAAACCCTCTTTTGGGGTTAAAAAGTATGTGCAAATAACTAACTCCACGCGTCGCGGGCGATCGCTAGTTTTAACATAAAAATAAAATATTAGCTGGCTCGTCTCTCTTGGTATTTTTAGATCATTGTCCTTGTTATCGCAAATACTGCCAGGAAAAAGAATAAGAAGCGGAAAAAACGCAAATCTCCAAATGTTAACTGAAGTTCAAAGCTGGTGATGAAGCTTTAAAATGTTTAACTTAATATGTAACTTCGGCACAACACTAGGCTAATTGGTTAGTTAAAAAAAAAAAGGAATAAACTAAGACTAATTTGAGTCCGCGTTTTGGAATAAGGCGGATTAAGTTCATTGTATTTTGTACTATAAGAAATATATATATAAGAAACAACTTCATTGTTCTTTCCAAACAAGAGTTCGGCGAGATGTCTCATACATGAACACACATTCAGACGATACTTTCTCTTCTTAGCACTAACATCGCAACTAATACGTACGATACTTATACGTACGATTAAGTGACCCACTTCGACGTTTCTTCCTCCTTGCAAGATAGACATCGGAATCATCGTCTAATTGTGTCATGAGATCGTCTGTCAGTAATCCTATATGCTGCGAGTTTTCGATGAATATCTGAAAAGATATACCATTGTTAACAATCAGTTTGATTTCTCCAAAATAATAATAATATAAAGTCCTGACAACTTGCAACAATAATTTAAACCCAAAATAAAGCAGAGCTTCATTATCACCACCAGCCTATTAATGTCCCCATTGCTAGGGCACAGGCCTTACCTCCTATAGATGGAATAAGGGAGACTTGGTCGGCCCGTGACCCACCACGCGGGCCCAGTGCGGATTGCTGGGCATAACAGCTTAACATGTTACTTTGAATTCTGCCACATACCTTGACAAGTGCAACATGATGCTCCAGTCTTTGAGCCGTGGCAGCAGCCGGCAGTGGCATGATGCTTGGGGCCAATACTATGGCCAAGTTAGAGGAATCCATAAGGTTGTCTTTGTGTCTTGCTGCTATGAAATTAAGAAGCTGAAAGTAGATTTTTAAACACCTATTATAGTCGTGCGTGTCATGGACGCTTACACCGAGAAACGAGATGAGCGCGCGCTCTTTTAGATAACGCTACAAAGTAAAACTTTATTTACTATACAAAAAGATACATACACACTTTGATATAACTTGGAAATGCCCTGCAACGTCGCTATATTATAAAAGCGTGCCACGCGAGTCACCGTGTGAACTACCCAAATGTGATGATAAAAAAACTAGCAAAGCATCACAGGTGCAACACTCTGAGGTAGATAAAATTAAAAATGTTGTTAAACACAAAATCACCAGTGTAAATTTTTTGCAAAACATAATTCTTTTTATGTTTGTATTTTTACATAAATTCAGAACTTATTACCCCAAAAACATATGGCGAGTTGATGGCGACTTGGACACAAAATATTCGGACAGAGAATCCAAATCGACACAATATATATATATTTCACTGAATAACGATACCTTAAGTCAGCGTTTCTGTTTAGGGCGTGTGAGGATGCCTAATCAGGAAGGTGTTAATAAAGTTGTAAGGATCTAATAAATTCTCCTCTTATCTCGCCGCAGTCAGCACAGTTCTGGTGGAAACGGCTTAGCGAGATTTTTGTAAACAAAACAAGCGAGCAATGTATGCGAAGAATTTGTGCTAGGAATGTGTGTGAGAAATGTGGGCGAGACATCTGTGCTATTGATGAAGACGAGCGGGAAATTACTAGCAGTTAAGTGATTGTGTTTGAAGAGTCCACTACACATCCTCGCACAGCTTTTCTGCACACTGTTTCACAGGATCACCCATTTTACATAAAAAAATAAGGACATATTTTCCTTTCGTTCCGTGTCTTTCTGATACTACTTGTGGTAATAACAAATCATTTTTGTTTTTGAACTGTTGTGATTTTCTGTTTCGATAATTTAAATGATTATATTTATGTTAATATATGCCTACTAAAATGATGTAGTCCTATATTAAATTTCATATATAAAATGTTATTTTCAAAAATGCAACCCAACATCCAACCCTGCCAACCCGTGCATTGGTCAATGACCTTTGATCTGATTTGTTTGCATTTTGTATCGCTTTTCGTAGGCCGTATTTATAGGTTTTCAATATTTTGGTTTTTTTCAACGTTTAGTAATGTAGTTTTTCTTTCTGTAGTGATATTGTGTGATACCTGACCACAAATTATTTTTTTAGACGGGTCACCAACCAGTTAGGGGGGTGCATATCGTAAGTGGCCCGCGTGCTAGATTTTAAAATACAGCCCCGTTATGCCCCTCCACACCCCCCAATCCGACCCTGACTGACACTATCAAAGCCACGAAACTTCATATAAAGTAACGATCGAGTTAGTCGTGCTGTGATATCGCGCGCCAATATGCGGAAATTTAAATTGAGTACCAGGGCATTGGTCAGCTAAGCTTTCTCTTTCGTCTTGTAATAGGATATATGCATGTAATTCAAACACGGCTCAATTTTAAAGTATGTACATTATTACTTTTGATTGAATTATCCCTGCCATCAATATTTTTTGATGATTGTTATGTTGATGTTTTTGACACGAAACTCGTTCCGGCAGATGAGGGAGTATTGTTAGGTTTTTAGTGGGTAGGGCTCTCTTCCGTCTCAGGAGGCCGTTCAGTCAATCTCGGGGCTGGTTGAGTGGGTGAGTGGAATGGTAGGCGAGGAGTCCTACATAACCTCGTCTCTCACTGTACGCAAGAAATGCGTTTTCAGAATTTTGCAAATGTGTACAGATAACGGATCTAGTGGATGAATTTTACTTAAGATGATGACACAGTATAATTATGACCACGCCATAATTATATTATTAAATTAGTGCTGATCATTTTGTATAAAGTTGTAATGTGAATAGTTTTCTGCCTTTCATGGGTTCGAAAACCTATCTAGAAAGTGATTGGCATCTCTTCGGTGTCATGATAAATAACAAGACGCATGTTGTCATCAAGACACATAAACAATAGAAAAGAGATATCAAGACAGTTGGGACATTCACATGATGGCTGATTACTGCAGAAGACTTAAGAGTGATTGCCCAAGACAATTTCACACGCGAAAAAGACTTCTTCTTGATGTTTAATGCTAAAATGAGTTACATTTTTGTATTCTTTTTTTTTGCTGTTTCATGACCTTGGTTGATTAAAAAAGCATTTTTGATATCTTCATATAAAACATACTCAAAATCAGGTCTAAAACCCCAGGCATCAAGTGCTGTATAACATACAAGTACTGGTAGTTTTTCATAACTTAAACCTTTTTACAATGTAACAATACATATAATACTTAAAGACTATACAGACTATGTCAGCAAAAAATCACTAAAAACTAAAATGTGCTGATTCAGACACTGTCCAAATATATTTTGTCCAAGTCTTCAGCAACTCAAAGTGGCTATGGGTCTCTTTCTGCTTAGCTATAATTGTTAAATGATAAAAGGAAAAACAAAACTTTGTTTTATGCTCAACCTGAATATGTGACCTGCATTTAGGCTGTTTCAATGTTTTATTGAATAAATGTAATTACTATTAGTGCCAGAAGTATGTTGAACAAGAAACAATATAGTGATGTATAAAATTCTCACCTCCATAATATAATGAAGAAGATGAACATGTAGTACTGGTAAAAGTAGCAATGTATGAAGTATTGGTTTGAGCGCATCCTCACCGGCAGAAAGCCTGCATCTCAACAGGAGGTCTTGTACCTCGGCATTGATCAATGGTTCTGGCAAGCATCTAAGGTACAATTTGAGTACACTTGCAACATCAATAGGGTGATGTCCTTCAGAAACACAACCACCAGCATCTAATAACCGCTAAAAATTTGCACAATATAAAAAAGTTATTTACTATTCAATTTTCAGTTTATAATTAAAATTTGTAAATTAAAACACCTTCAAATGCATCAAGTTTTTACAGTAGGTACAAAATATAATTCAGATTTTATAGACTATTCTATGTATACTTTGAATGTTCATTGGAGCAACTCTAACTCAAATTTAAATTCATTATCTCTCCATTGACAAAAGAATGTGGCAATGTGAAAAAGCAATACTAGGTAGTCTGATCAATATCAAACTCTTTAACATCTTCTTTAATACTATGGCTTGTTTTTTTCCACGTTTCCACTAATGTGACAAAGGTATAATTACAATGCTGTTATAATGTTTCTCCCACAAGTTTGCGACATAGCTTTGGGTGACTTTGGATCTAAATAGCACAAAGATTAGTGTTATAATTTATTTGACATGCTAAGAGGTTCTGAAAAACTATAAATTTGGTTACGCAGCTGAATCAGCTTTTTTAATGAAAAGTGGGAATGTTTTATTATAACCCATTTTGATACCAAAGCCACCCGAAGCTACGTCGCACAGGTATGGGATAAGGAAGGAGGGAGATGACTATCATTGTCCAGAGTAAGGACATTAACATGGACAATCTCTGTGTCTGAGTGGTTTGTTTGAATCCCATGGGGGCAGATGTTTTTGTGATGAATACAATATTTGTACTCCAATTGTGGATGTTTAATATGTATTTCTATACAAATATATATGTATCAGTATACATATTCTATCTGTTACCCTAATATCCCATAACACAAGCCTACAGTGCTTACTTTGTAGCTAAGCTAGTTGCTGTGTGTCTTGGAAATATTTAAGTATTATTATTATTTACATTTTTATTTAAATTTTATTACAAATCTGGAAACTGGTAGAAAAGCTTAGCTTTCGTCAACACTAGCCTATTACCGTGATAGAGTATAGCTGTAGTACACTGTACTATACTACTATTGGATAGTACAGCTGCTGTACTATCCAATAATTCTTTTCACCTTATTCACTTAATACTAAATACTGAACACATACAAAATGGGGTCTAATAAAAAGATTACCTTTATATCCTTTTGGCGGTTTTGAGAACCCGCTTTCCGGAATAAACCCTCAATGTGGGCATTGGCTCTAAGTACAGTAGACATTTCAGTGACAACAATAGGAACACTCAAAGTACTTCCACAACAAATTACACTGCATGATGGCACTTTAACTAACGGTGCTCCAAACACAGTCTTATGATCCTGAAACAGATGCTTAAGTAAGATAAAAATGTAATAAAGGGATCCTAAGTTCAGTGCCAGGAAGTTGTAACAAACACATACTTTAACGCTTTTTAGAATAATTTTCTTCAATCGATGTTTCAATCCCGCTTTTTTCAATTCCCCGACGATTATTGATTGTAGTTTAACGTGATTGATGCCGTCTGATATGAGCATTTTCTTACAATTATTATTTTCCTCTAGATAATTTTCGAATTCAACATCGTTCGTTAAAGTTCAGTTTCGTTTCACTTTTAGATATTCAAACTTTGAAGCACGATTATTAAAGTTAGTAAGAAAAATGTATTGACCATTTTATTTATACAAACAATTTATAAAATTTAAATATATTCAAATATTTTATATTTAGAAGTCAAAGGAAATACTAAATTTATTTATTCACTAATCGTAACCTGTGAGTGATCTTAGCGTAAAATGAAGCGGTAGAATTATAACCACAGATTACACAACCAATTCTATTTTAACGTTCTTATTGGACTTTATGTAAATAGGACTGTCTGTGTCTGAGTAATATAATGACGGATAAAAGGGCACAAGTGAGAGATATACAACAGAGGCCCTGTTGGTTACTGTCGTTACTAGTTAATCGTTGTCAATGTCACCGTTTGTCACTCGGCTATCGATGATGTAGGTATGGAAAAATGTAATGTCATGTAAAATCTCCACTTTGTCTCCACTACACTACTCGTCAAGTAGGTAGAAGTCAAAATTGACTGAAGTTCGAAGTATGTGACTACACACTCGTGCTGCCTGCAACTTCGCGAGGAACTACAATCAAATTAAACTTAAAGCGCCAATCATTATATTTTCTACCCTACACTCACTCACGAAGTAAGCCGAATAGTGTAGTATAATTATATAATTATAGTATAATTTGTTTCGTTAGAACTTCGGGACGCTTCCAATCCTTTGACTCGGGCGCAAAATCCTACATTTCTTGGAAGTCGTCCAAGGCGCGCTAAGGTTCAAGAAGCAATCAGAAGTGCCTCTCTAAAATATCGTATTCGCACAACCTTGGTTAGGTAACTCCGTGAGTAGTGTAGTGGAGATCGTCCTATAATATTTTTTCCTATAAATAAATAATATGCCTTCCTAGATGTATATGATTAAGGCGCCCTTTACCACTTACTTACATAATGATCATACATAAATTTAATTTTCGTAATTCAAACATAAAATTACCAATGATTTTGGTAAAAATTTGAGTGCAAACCTTAGATTTAATTATAATCCCTTTTTGATTTTAATCTAAGGTGCAAATCTATAAAATCTGGACTATTCATTAGTAGTCTTTAATTTAAACCAATATTTTTTGACATCATAACGTTTTTTAAAACGATAAACACCGGCTGCACGCACGAAAAAGTGTGACTTCATGTCACGAGTTAAGCCAAAAACATATTAACGTGTCGTGTGTGAGGTGGGTAAGGTCGAGGAGTTCCTTTTTTCTTTCCTTCAAATGGATTGGTTCGTAACATATTAACTGATTGATCAAATATTATAACACCATGATCTCCATTTATTGAAAAAATGAAATAATAAAGTACCTATGTCGGAAATAAATTGGGTATTCATTTTCACTATGTCCATGGATATAAAAATGAACAGTAATTACTCTGTGGCACAACATTTCGGTTATCTGTGGACTAGCTTGACAGTCGACCGGGAAAATAATTTTGTTGTTGACCTTTTGACGTAGCCACCTAGTCAATTTGTTTTCATATTAGTCTGTGACCTAGCCCCTGAGCAAGTTGTATCTCAAATGTTATTTTTTCTTCAATTTAGTTTTTGTGAGGTAAAATGATAGAACTTTCAGCGAAACTAACCACTGGAACTGTATATCTGGCCGGAGAAGCCTTAGAATGTTCCATTTCATTTTGCCATACAACGCAGCCGGAACATAGGAATTCACAAAGCCACAGGTACTATTTTATAACAAAATCAGTCAGCAGCAGTTACCAATTACATATATTCCTACTACATAACACAATCCACTATATTTATGTACTCAGAATCAAATAATTTTCAGTGATATACTTGAAAATTTAGCATGGGCTTCAGCACAGATACACTGTTTTTATTCAACATCAGGAAATACAGGAGAAAAAACACCAATATTAGGCAAAACTACAGCCTTGGAAGTAACGTCTTGTGATATTGGAGATGTAATATTTCATACAAAACCAAAAATTCTATTTTGTGATCTGACAATTCCTCTTGGAGAGACCAAAACATGTAAGTTCCACAATAACTTGTTTAATATTATACTTGTTCTGAAGCACTTTATACTAATAAGATAGTTTTTGTAACATTGCTTAACACTTCAACATATCATAAAAATGATTCTCTCTCTCTCTCTCATATCTGACGAAGAGGAATTAGACTGGATCTTGACCAGCACCGCCCCACATGGAGGGGAATCCGTTGCTACTGCTACGGACTCCCCTTTTTGTACATTAATGTTCCTAAACCATAGATAAATAATATTTTTCAGTTTGGTATAGAGAGTCTCTACCTATTGAAGCAGCACCCTCTTATCGCGGGACATCTGTTAAATATTCTTACAAAATAACAATAGCCTCTCAAAAGGTGGGTTCTCATATTAAAATGGTTCGCATACCCTTTAGAGTACTGCCAATAAGCCCTATAATGAATATGCAAGACCATGCAGCTTTATGTGGAAATGAAACAACAGAAGATCTGCAGCCTACTAATCCATTTTCAGAAGAGAGGAAAGTTGAAACTCCTCTTACTATGGCTTTGCAAGGTTTACAGGTAATTTGACTTTTTTTTAATTTTCATAATGATCGTAAGATAAATTAGTTCACAAAATCAAGACTTGTGACCTATAAACTCATTACAGAACCTCACAGCTAGAAGAAGTCCAAACGCCTATATGATAACAAACACCAGAGGAAAAGTGGGAAGATTTTGCTTATTTAAATCAGCATACAAGCTTGGTGAAGATATAGTAGGCACATTTGACTTCTCTGTTGGAACTGTCACTTGTATGCAGGTATATTTGACAAGTCTAATCCTTACATTGCATTTTTTTTAAGTAAATGGAAAAAGCAGAAAAATTCACGTCATAATTTGCTAAAAAAAACTTATTTCAATTTAACATAATCCAACCTAACCCCACAAATTTTATTTATAAATCTAGAAGTTCAATCCTTTATAAAACAATATAATAGCTATGCTCCAAATAATATCTGTTTCTAAGGACCAACTTCAAATTTCACATACTAACAAATAAATACACAATTTTTTTCAGGTGTCTGTATCATTGCAACCCGAGGAAGTGTTAAAATCTAAATCACCATCTAAAAATGCCAATAAAGATACAAGTAGTAGATCTATGACAGTGGCAAGATATCATGAAGTCACACTGGGACTTACACACTCTCAACTTATACTTCCAATACCTTTGCATATCACTCCAGCCTTCGATGTAGAAGATGGTACGAACACTCAAGATTGTTTTTCTTTCTTAAAAATATATATAATTTAATAACAATTGGATATATTTCAGTTTCTTTAAGATGGAGACTACATTTTGAATTTGTGACAACTAATGAAAAATTATTGCCAAACCCTGAAGACAGAGATTGGAATGCTCCTTTGAATGTGCCCATTGAAACAATGGTGTGGAATTTGCCTGTCAAAATTTATTCCACTCTACCAAAACAAATTACTCAACATTCACTTGGGAGTGACGCATATACTCTTCTCATAAAATGAAAGGTGTTGTTCATACCATATGATTTGTTCAATAAAATAAGTATTAAATAACATGTATTAAGAGTAATGTAATTTATTCATCAACTGACTCTTTATCCCAATCTTTCATTTTAGCACCCATCATGAAGTCATCCCTGAAATAGTATAAGTTTAATGATTATTATAAATTTCAAGGTTTATGTTAAAGGATCTGTGATTATCTTTTATAAATTGTTTAGGTGAAAAAGAAACTAAAATATGTATAAATGCTATTGTACCTCAGTGCATTCCATTTAGGCGCCTTCTCTTCATCTTTAACATTGTTAGTTTCTTTGTCAACAACAATTGACTTTGTTTGGCCCATCAAAGTATCTAAAAATGTTCTTTTATCAAACTTCTTCAGTATCTTTTCTTTTTTACCTTCAGTTAGATCGCTATTGTCTATATCTTTTTCCAAAGTTTTTTGTTGATTTCTCACTGCATTAAATAACTGTACTACACCTTTTGTAGCTATTTTTGATAATAATCTTTCCCTGTCTTTCTCTAATATGTTAGGTTTTGCCCGAATTGATGGTTTTTCATTTTTCTGAAAGGATATTATAATAAAATATAACAACATTTATGACAATAACATCCTACAGAATGTGTTTAAATTGTCTTGTATACTCACAATTTTTTTTGTTGGAGGTTCTACATCAAATTTCCCTTCAAGTTTTATTTCTTTCTTTACTTTTTCATTTTCTCCAATCACCTCAAACGCCGGTGTTTCTTCTTTTTCTTTCTTGATTTCTGAATGCTTTTTCGCTCTAGACAATACCAAAGTTTTCTTGTGTTTTGGTTTAGTAGAACCGAGGATTTTAGCAACCGAGTCTGCCCAGCCTTCATTGGTCATAAGTGCATTCGCTCCGCTAGATTTATCGTCACTTTCGTCACTGCTTTCAACATCAGCGTCAGGAGCCTGCTCATTGTCTTGTTCTTCATTTTCCTCCGAACTATCGCAGGACGATAAGTCTGAGTCACTTACTGAGAATAACAAGCAATAAGTATTTTGTGGTCGTTATTTACATAAAAGTCCAACCAAACGTGCGATATAAGTACGTACCTGAGACTTTTACTGTCGATTTCTTCATTTTATTTTCAACAATTTCTGCTACTACCATGATACTAATGTAATAGATTTAGCTATTTCTTTTTCAGTCTAAATATATTGGGTGATACCGTAGTACGCAGTACTCTTAGTAGCCTGATGCCACACGTGCGGCATTATTTACAATCGTTTGACACTGACGTTTGAAATCCCAGGATGAAGACAAAGGAAATTTAACAGCATTTTTTTTTAAATTCTCCCTTTTCAGGGAAGGCAAAGGGAACAACGCCCATATAGCCAAGCCTTTACTTTTATTAATCTTCGATTTTTTACATTGGAATGTCAGCGTGACTCGTTCTAATGTTTCGTGGAGTATTTGGCACGAAATGTATCGAGTTGGCTTTTCCAGTAAGCTTCTGTGAGGTAGTCAGCACTACAATAAAATTCTCACGTTCACTTGACCGGAACAGGGGATATATTGAAGATTCCATTAATTTTTCACTTGAGCAGACGGTTGTAATACAAAATCACAGCAATTTTATTTCACAAGATCCACTATGAACGAATTTTAGAATAGTTAAAATAAGACGCCAACTGCACTCGATGAAATCCCGCCAAAATCTCCATTATTTTTTACTGATTTTCATTAGCATGCGGCTGACGCGTTCTTATAACCTTAAGCCAGAAACATATTATTAATGTGTCTTGGTGCGCCAGAAACACATCAGTTTCATACATTTATTATGGTTAGAGACATATTTACGTATGGTATCCAACGATATTAAATACCCCAGATATACCACGAGCGCTCAAAATGTGTCCCAATCAAGAAGTGCTTGAACTCCACTCAAGCACTTCTTGGTTCACAGTCACGCGCGGACCGTTACAAAGTCAAGATCCCACAGAGCTCCGCGAAAAAGTGCGAAAATAATACTTAGAGTACGAAAAGTGTCGTTTTTTCGACAGGTATCTACTAATATGTTTGTTAATTTAACGCATTTGAAGTAAATTTTGATCTAATACTTATTATAAACTGATTAAATATAAAATATTTGTGATATTCAAATGCATGGTCGGTTATACGTAGTCGCCATATAGCCGTCTCTTTTCCTCGAGGTCCGTGCCTGCTGTATTGCTAACAGCGCGTTCAGAATTTTATTGCGCGTAGAGTCAAAGAACTAAGGCCGTATACAGAAAGAAAGCTGAAAGCCGATCGGCGCTTATCGGCGCCGATCCTTCCTACATAAGGGAAGCCGATTAAAGCAGATCAAGCAAAATGTCGGACTCATCGGACGATGATTTGGTTTTGTTAGAAAATGTTTATTTAAAAATGCGAAAAACAGCTATACATCCTAAAATAGAGAAAGGAAACGTTTCGGAGAATACCATCATTTATTTGTAAAAAAAATTAAATTTGATGAACAAAGATTTTATACATATACAAGAATGATTCAAGAAACATTTTATTACATTTTGGATTTAGTGAAAAACCGTTTGATGAAAAATTGGGGCAATTGGCATAAACAACCAATCCTTCCAGAAGAAAGACTTGTTGTCACCATTCGGTAAGTACGAAACAAATAATTTTAGCGCTTAGTTAATAAAAGATAAAGTTATTAGATTTATAAAAAGATTATAACTTAGATTGATTTAATCTAAGGATAATAATTCAAATACAAATTATTTATTATTCGGACCAGCGCTTATCGGCGCCGATAGGCCATGCGTCAAGGACTTCTGACAGTTCGTAATGCAAGCTCATAAAATTTTACGATTTATTGCTATAAGCGGAAGAATTTAGACCTAAGGCCGTATACAGAAGGAAAGCCGAAAGCCGATCGGCGCTGGTCCATAGAAAAAGGATCAGCGCCAATAGGCGCCGATCGGCGCTGATCGGCGCCGATCGGCTTTCGGCTTTCTTTCTGTATACGGCCTTAGGTCTAAATTCTTCCGCATATAGCAATGTCGTAAAATTTTATGAGCTTGCATTACGAACTGTCAGAAGTCCTTGACGCATGCGTTTTATTTAAGACCTTATATAGTATGTATTAAAGGTAACTTTCAATATTTAAAAAATGCCTTATATTGATTTTGACTACGCGATCATCTTACGGAGCTCCTTGGATCGTTCAAACTTTTGGACAGGTTTCGGGCACGATTTGTTCGTGTTGGTGTATCTAGGGTATTTAATATCGTTGATCGTATCATGTCGACGACCAGCAAGGGGACTACGCCAGCGAAAAAAAAATTTGAGGGTTCATGAAATGAAAATGGGGGTCCTCAATAATGGATCTCAACATACACTGATAGCACTTATTTACTAACATTATGCTATCTTCTATTAAAAAGACATATACATTATTTATAAAAGTATCTATGAAATAATAAAAAATATTATTTATATGTTTATAAAATTTTGTAAGTTGTAAGATGAAGGTATTCGCTTTGTGGTCGCTATACATTTTGAAGTTGTATAAACCTGCATATAATGATAAACCAGTATCATCTTGTTACACTTACTTCCCTCCAGATTGAAATTTACAAAAAATCAATATCAGGTAAGTAAGGGTCTACCCAAAACCAAAAAACTTTATAGATTTATAAATCACGCAGCTTGCGTACGGAACCAAACAAAGTAGCGCCGTAGCTGTAGTTATAAAATCACGTCATATAAATGCGCACTGCACACAGTACTAGCAGATGATGGGTTCCAATTCTTTTCTCCTCTGTACTTTCGAATAACTAAAACCCAGTCATCGAGGAGGCAAAAGTCTATTCGTTTGGGATATGGAATAAGAATGTGCCACACCTACATTCTAATATAAAAAAATAACAAAAAAACTGAAGACTAGGCTGTATGAGCATTGTTTCTTTAGCCTGCCCTAAAAAGGGAGAACGTTAAAAAAACAAAGAAAAATAAAATACAGCTGATCGTCACAGCTCGACAAACATCGGTTTGTATTTGATGTTGTGTATAAATCGTGTCAGAAAATGGTGGTTTTGTATTAAACATGGCGAATATTGCAAGTCCTTTACCTTACCTTGTAAAGAGGGAGTATGGTTTCGTGCCGGAACTGAAGTCGCATTTATTTACTAAACGTTTAAATGCTGCAAAAAATTTATATCGGCGCGATTTAGTATGCCATTTTGGGTGTGTAAATGCCATCGAGTTTTCTAGCAATGGCGAATTGCTGGCATCAGGTAAGTTTATTTATTTTTACCTTAACTAGTAATTTTGTCTTTTACTTTATTTAAGGCACCTGTTTCAAAATTTACTAAAAGTGGAAGATATTGTAACTTCAACTCCTAATTTTTTGTTCTTTTATTAATTTCTACTAGAAATTCCTTGTTTAGTTATACCTAAATATTATTGTGTATCTTATTTTATTGTAGTATAACATAAAGAAACAGCTGGAAACTTTATCAAATAATACATGTAAAATTTTCACTCATATTTTCAATGGAGTATCTACTAATGTGGAAGAGTATATACATTTATTTTTATTTATATTCTCGTTTTATCCAACTATCAAGCAGTCCTCACTGTACAACAAGTGCTGCATATATTAATTGAAGGGTGTGATAGGAGTTGAAATTATATTTTTCCCTTGACAGATTTGAGATACCACTATTTAAGTATTGCTCAAAACAGGTGTTTGGTGGTCTAGGCCCCATTTTTATTTAAGAACTAAATATGTTGTTACTTGACTTCAGTTGTCATTCCAAGTTAGGCTTCAAATGATTAATATTGTTTTTCTCTTGAAAATTTATATTATTTCACAAAAACTTAAAATAACTCATGTACACTCAAATCAGTAATGTGCAAAGTGTCACCACAATTCTTGGAAATGAAGGTGATAATCCAAAAACTTAGATTAGTAACCATTGAAAGAAAATTAAGAAAATCCCTTCATTGCTTGAGTGGCTTTGATCTCTGTCATAGAGGTCATTTGGCGTCTTACAAAAACAACTTAACATTGAGTGTACAGCTAGCTACCATCAACAAAGACAATGAGAACATTAAAAACTTTTGCCCAGTTTCTGAGCATTTTTAGGCACTTTTCAGGTGAAGAAAATTTCACTATATTGAATTAAATATACTCTTTGTTATTGCAATTTTTTCTTTAGTTTAAATTTTTTAAGCATGTAACTGCTTGCTGTTTAAATCAAGAGAAAATATAACTAGTTTTTTTTATATACTCTTAGTTTCTTATCAAAGCTCAAGCCTACCGATGATACCCATGGTAGTGTTAGGAACTGGCTACCAGTCACACAACTAACTTTTTAGTTGATTATAATCTATTTCATCAGGTGGTGATGACAGGAGGGTTATGCTTTGGCAGTTTGGTCAATCACTTCTTGATCATTCTAAAGAACCAGTGCAAATGAAGCATCTTCACCATTCCAATATATTTTGCCTTGGTATAACCGATGATAATCAAAAGATTTATTCAGGAGGAAATGATGACACGGTAACTTTTAAACTGTTATCAGACTTTATTCTTAAATCTATGTTTATTTTTCTAAAGTCCTTTTTCCTTTCCCCTTAAAGCTCAAAATCTTTTGGGAAAAGAGTCTCCTTTGCTCATATCACTATGTTTTATTGGCTTATCATTTAATTAAAATACCCATTTTCTAGTTTTTCTGTTATACTTCTAGGTGGTTGTTCATGATTTGGAGAATAAATGTCCCTTGGAGGTTTTGCAACATCAGAGAGCAGTATGCAGTCTCAGCATTGATCCTTTCAATTGCCGTGTCATTACCACAGCTGGCAATGATGGACGCCTATTGCTGTTTGATACAAGGCAATCGGTTCATGGTAAGGCATTTAAGTTTAAATTTCTAACTTTTGATCTTACAGTAATTGATATGGGTATAATGCGATTCAACTAAGAATAGGACCGACAGGGTGCCATATTGTGACGTCATAACTGTCAATTCAAACCAAATAGGTAGAGTGAGCAAAAATTGTATTTAATTAATAAAACTTATTTACTAAGATTAAGTGAGAAAAAAACATCAGATTCTATTAATAAAATTTCTTTACCAAGATTGAGAAAAAAAAACAACCAATTTTTATTAATATTTTTTATTAAGACTATTTGAGAAAAAACATTAATCAAAATCTAGCTTGTCAATTCCGCTCATCTCTGCATTACCGCCGGAGTAGTTATGAATAATCATGCACTATTACTAAGTCACAATATACAAACATGCAGCCTTTGTGTAAACAAAAGTTTTAAATTTTAAAGTGACATTTGGTTGACGATTTAGGTTATCAACCACCCATAGCCAATGCTCAATATATGAAAGCCATAATCACCAAAAACTTGGATTGAATTTCAATATATGAAAAAAAAACAATATTAAAAACAATTATAAAAAAAGTATGTAATGTAAAGCTAATTAAGAGCTTTCATGTCGCGTTGGTTACATGCGAATATCTATCATAGTTTCGTAGAAAAACAAATTTGAAGTTAGGGATTGCAACCCCCATTTTCCAAAAACGAATGGAGTTAGGGGTTTGATAATTGGCCAAAAATTATTTTAAACTACTAGCAACATCTTAAAGGCACCAATGTCAAAAAAGACGCCAGTGCAGATTTCATATGGTAACCCGGCGAGACCCTTTTCGTGAAGATTTTGTTGGTAATCTCTATTTTATTATATCTTTCAATTATATTACTTTATGTTGACCATTGCTTCAATTATTATTATAGGACCTTGAATAGTAATAGTAGTACTATTTTAACATATAAATTTGATTTAAACTTTCACATCTGTCTGTTATAAATTATTATCACAACTGCTATAATATTTATCCCTCATATTATAGCAGAAGACAAAATGTTTGCTTCAACAAAACATATAAATAGTCTTTTAATTATCTTTGGTAAGATATTATTGTTAAAATGATGTAGAATTGAATATGAGGTTGCTTAAAACCTGATTTGTCCACAAATAATGATAAGAGATAATGATAATGACTAGACCACTATTTAAAATAATATTAAAAACACATTAATTTAATGTTGTTGGTGTTATCTCCACTTTTCCGGATTCCTTACTCAAAGAGGAAAAAAATAACCCTATTGCTGTCACTCTGTCATCTGTCTGTCTGTATGTCACAGGTCTGTTTACGATCTGTAAACAGAATAAGCTACAGAACTGAAATAAATATTTTTATATTTTGTTGGAAATTTAAATTTTGATATTAAAATAATATTTTATATGTATCAAGTTAAAGTTCTGTAACTCATTCGCTTTATGATCTACAGACCTGTGACATGCAAAACTAGCTAAAAAAGTCCCACCCTAATCTTAACTAACATAAAAAAGCAGTTGTTATTTTCATATAACTTGTTGTGTTGTTGACAACCTCCATGGCCGTGTGGAATATATACTGGGTTTCAAGTTGTCGCATACTGGAGAGGTCATTGGTTCGAATCCTGGTGGGGGCAAATGTTAGTATGATGAGTACGAGCATTTGTACCTTAGTCGTGGATGTTTATATATATTTTTATATAGTTAAATACTTATTTATGTAATAAATATATGAAATCTCTCCATTACCCTAGCATGCCATAACACAAGCCTTACATTACTTACTTTGGGGCTAGGCTAATTGGTGTGAGTGTTAGAAGTATTTTGTTTATTTATAATTATACCAGTAGAAAAAGAATTCTCATGTTTTATTTTATTCCATAATATGTATGTGTGTGAGGAAATATGTTTGTGGCCTTCAACACTCAGTGCAAGTAAATTTACTATTCTGCTGGAAACTTCCTCGAATGTTTTGCTACTTTGCCGATAAGCGTCCATAGCAAAGCACACATATCAACTCAGAAAGGTACCACCACCAACTCGCCTTTCGGCTCACCGTCAAACAGGTGTCCACCTATCGTACTGGCCCGATTATACTTGGTCTTTAGCCCAATTACGAGTGCCTACGGAATTCGGACGGACGACTAAGTGTAAATGAACGGAGTCAAGTACGCCCGTATTCGGACAGTTTTCGTTTTAGTTACCCGACATCGTCTGCCAGCCCGTGTTCGTGTAAAAAAGGCTCAATTTCACATGGTCTGTTAACCCGAATACGATTGCCAATGGAATTCGTGTAAACGACTAATTGTAAATGAATTTAGTAGAGTACGCCCGCGTTTGGGTAGTTTTCGTTGTGGTTACCCGACACCATCTTACATCCCATATTCCAGTGTCAATATTGCTTCGGGTGCCCGAAAACGAGTGATATCTTTCGTACACTCGAATACGGGCTAATGACCAAATGTAAATGCGCCTAAAACGATAAGTAGCTCCAGTACGTTCGGATCGGCTACGGCTAGGCAACGCCGCGCTAACGGCTCGCCCACCGCTGGTTGACGGCAAGCCGGCATCAGTTCGATCAGTAGTCACATAGATCAATCCAAATTTATAAAACTTTTGTGTGTCAAAGCATCGGAATTCAAATTATGAATCCAGATTCTGATTCAGACTGTATAAGACCAGCCTTAAAACTACATTAAACGGAGTGGTTACTTTCTATATGGACCGCACATTCGTCAACGCAGGCTGTGAACGAAGGGGAGGGACGTGAACGAAGAGACATAAGCTAGGCTACGGAGAGACGTAAGCTAAGCTACGGAGATACTTAAACTAGGGTACGGAAAATTTACAGTAGGGCGTTTCATACAAAGATTACTTAACGGCTCGAGTTGATACGGTGACGATCCCTTTCCCAGTTGATATGTTACTACGACAATAAAGCGACCACGCCACTCGCTCTATCCCAGGACCGACACTGTAGCACTCATTATGTGATAGTTTTATCATAATTGGGGTTTCGACTTAATCCTACTTTTAGATCCGTATTACAGAATGACAACTATGTGTTGATCTTTACTTGAGTACAGTTAGAAAAGGATGTCGCTATGTGCGTGATATATATAGCGACATCCCTTTCTATCTATGCTCAAGACTAGATTCATTACTGAGAATCTTCCTATAATACGGGCTTTAGTCATGTGCAATGAATGATATTACTTTCGATATAGTAGGGATGATGACTAATTTTTTTTTCTTCGTTTATCAGGTATCAAAAAATATTGGACACGTATTTTTTCTTTTTTCACATAATATAAACATTGCAGAGATATATTGATTTCAAAAGTCCCATGACGTCACGTTTTGGTACACTTTTAAGTGGAAATTCACTCAAAAGTGACGTCACGAGCCCCTACTCCCAAACTTTGACGCGCTATAACTTTGTCATTTTTTAGTTGATTGCCCATAGAAAAAATACGTGTCCATTATTTTTTGATCATCTAACTGACGGACTAAATGGAATTTCGTTTACTGTTCCCCGTCATCACCCCTATTCAAGGGTCGTTTTATCGAATTGGCTATGAGAGTAGATAGTTACTCGGGCTGAGTTTAAGGTCCGTATTAATAGATAAAGCTTTTGTTTTGCATGGAAACAGTATCTCGAGGTCGCAGTCTCAGAGTTGAGAGCGATCTATTAATATGGGCCTAAATGTGGTGGATATCTTAATGGCACAGTGTACCTCACTATGCAGAGTCGCTAGTGATATCGCGCAGTCGGAAGGCGTTCCATGGGGTGATGTTCCACCCGCAGCAAGTCGGGATGGTGGTGTCGGCCAACGCGAGGGACGGCGTCGCGCTCTGGGACCTCAGGTCACCCAAACAGTGAGTGATGTTATTTTTAAGTTTTTAACTGCTAGATGTTGAAATCTAAACAAAGTTTACTATAAAAAAATCCACGCGACACTGACATTGTGGGTTACCTATAATGCGAAGAGATGGCAGCTTAAGACTAGAGAAAATTCGATACGGACGTCAGGGCCGCGGTAGCATAATGGTCAGTGCATTCGCCCGGATAGCGAAGGGTGCGGGTTCGAGTCCCGTCTGCTGCCTGGTCCGCGTGGAATTTTTTCTATTAAACTTTTCTTTAGTGAGTGATGTGTTTGAAAATATTACTTGTAACTGTAATTAAAAAGCTTCTTTTATTCGATCATGAATGAATCAGAATAAATTTCAATCATTCAGAATTTAATTGAAATCTTTCACAATATTGATAAATTTTTATTTGTCAGCCTTTGGAAAGCGTTCAAACAATGTTTACTTTAAGCGGGGTAGTACTGATTTTATCTCGTCGGAGCAAGATTTTCTTTTTTTTTTAGTTACTAAAAATTAGGAACACAGCGGAAGAGACGTGTTACTCGATCACTAACAATAATCTTACATCTACGATGTGCTCATGTACTTGGAATGTCCAAATTTACCCGGCTGGCTGAATGTGTACCTAAACATAAGGTTAAATTCTTTTTTTCGCTCAATGATCAATGGGCAAACTGTATATGTAAGATTAGGTATTTTTTTAGTATTTGTCATGTTTTTGTTAGTCCAAATAATTTAGAAACTATGCTTCTGAATTATCATAAACCTTGCACAAAGTTTTAGCTAATTGTCAACATTGAAACCTGTAATTGGCTTTGCGCTATGTAACTTACTTTTAATTAGGAACTGATTGTAATAAGCTATTAGTTTCAATAAATAAATGATCTGCAGTTATACTGCCAAGCAGCTGCTTCATAGTTGAATAAGGCTATCTCAACTATATCAACCGATTTTAAGTCGCATAGCTGAATGGAGTAAATCTTTTGGCCTTATAGTGAATCCTGCCAAATCCCAGGCCAGTTCCAAATTAATGGCGAAGGTTACCATAACTGCCCTCCCTATGGTTAAGTTTGATAGCGTTGATATTCCGTACAGCACGTCTGTAAAGAATTTAGGTGTGATATTTGATGATACTTTAAGTTGGGCCCCTCAGTTGCGCCTGCAACTTACCGCCTGCTAAGTCGCAAGCTGTATGCGTCATCATCGTCTCTTAGAAGACTTCGTAATTTCCTTCCTACCATCACTAAAATTGCGCTAGCACAATCTCTGTTGCTTCCTATACTTCTATAGTATATTCTGTGATTATTGTGGGTAACCGCATAATAAAAGTTGTTAGTAAAGCAGTCTGTCATCGCCTATTAAATGTTGTATTACGTACTCCATATTTTATTTTTAAGGTCCTTTTAACTCCTCAAATAGGACACATTGGCGACGAGGATTATTACGCCAACTCCTGTTATTTAGATGTAACGGAGGATTAGCTTAATTAACATGAGCGTCTCCGAAATTTATTAATCAGATTTATATTTGGCTTGCGCAAATATGATTGTCTCCAATTTTGCTCTAAGCTCAAGTGGCTTCCTACCAGACTTCGCCGGAATACTCCCATACTGTCACTCCTCTACAATATTTTGTTCAATCCCTCTCCCCCGCGCTATCTCAAAGAACTTTTTAAGTTCCAACAAAATGCGTTATCGCTTTATCTTAGGTTATTAGAAAATCTGACTTTCTCAATGCCCACCCATCGCTCCACATTTTATGTTCACTCGGTCACCTCGTATCACTCCTTTTTGATCAGAAAGGAGTGATACGAGGTATACCTCATTAGTGAAGACGCGAGTAAAGAAAGCGTGAATAAAGAGCTTTTACTGTATATGTATTGAGATTGAATCATTGATTTCTTATCTAATACCGGATTCACACGAGGCGATTGTAATTGATCAACTTTTATCGTTCAATCGCTTTTATTCGCTTTGATTTCTTCAATTCGATTGAAAGTCTGTTCAGATGGTTCACATCGCATGCTATTTAGCAGTTGATCAACTAAAACCGCCTCATGTGGATCCAGTATAAGAACTTTTAACCAAGTCTATTTTGTTTGAATAAAAATGTTAAGCGAGTAGTGCTATAACTCGCGACATTTAGAATCAAATAGAAAATAATAACGCAAGATATTCTGCCCCTCGCACATTATCCCTAACAGTAGGACAAAATGTCTTGCATAGTAATTTTCGATTTGTTTCTTTATGGCGAAGAAAAGACAAAGCTCATTACAGATGGCTTTGCATGAATTTTTCATTTTGAGTCTGTTAGGTTCGGTTCGTTTTTTCTTGGGAAATTCTGTAGAATTGTCTATTCACTAACAACGAAGTGAAGCAGTTAAAACACGGGATGAAGAGCCGAAGATGACGCCAAATGATTGTCAAGCGGTCCTAGCCAGTAGGCAGATTACGGGTGAATTATATAAAAAAATTACAGGTTAAATATATTTTGTCATATACCAAGTGAATTTTAAACAAAGTAATACATTCAAGATACGACTTTTCGTACCTATTTTGACAGATTTCGTGAATTGTTTTGAGCCGGATGATATCAGAGCCTCAGCGGCGAGTATCTTTAGTTTTCTTCCCATTTCGCGCGAGTTATACTAGTGACATACAAAAAGTCCAACATTTTATAAATATCATTATAAATTGTTTTGTCAACGATTACAATAGAACAGCGTGACGAGCTTAATTTTTTGAATGTTAAAATGAACATTTGCTATCGAAATTGTAATACACACCATAATCGAACTTCGCCTATCACCGGTGGTGACTTCCCAAGTAACCAATGCAGTTTTAGGATCAGAATTCTTCTTGTTCACACAGCCCTGTACTGCGCTACGTAGGTAACAACGGTGCTACGCAGAACTGCATGAGCGTTCGTTTCAACTCTGCCGGCACTCACATCTTAGCCTTACGTCGGCGCCTCGCACCAGTTCTGTACGCCGTGCATACAGCAGAACCCGTTGCAGAGTTCTATCATCAGGATTACTACAACTCTTGCACTATGAAGAGCTGCTGCTTCGCCGGTGAAGGAGACCAGTTTGTGATGTCGGGCTCCGATGACTTCAACCTTTACATGTGGAAGGTTCCCGACGGAGAGACAGGTCAGTGTTTATATTTATTTGTTAACATTGATTGGTGCAACGGTAGTGAACTGATTCTTGATTTTTTCTGTACTGCGATTTAAACCCAGTATCTTCTTTATTACTACCGCTGCATTGATTGTCACGTGTCATACCAATAATTTTTTTAAGGAGTGTTATCATAGTTAGGCACCGTTATTTTTTACAGATATGGTTGTTGAACCCCCGCACATAGTGTTATATGGTCACAGGTCGATAGTGAATCAAGTGCGATATAATCCACGTTATTGTCTGATTGCATCCTCTGGAGTAGAGAAGATTATCAAGGTAAGATATCCGGAAAGGTGAAGATGTGAGTGATTCGTTGGGCTTGCCCAGGAATAGGTTTACTCTGAAAAAATAACTGTGATGATTCCATGAAGACTTACTGTACGCTTCGCAATCATTGTAGATGACTTTATGCCAACGTATCACTATTTTTCAGAACAATCGCACTTCGTTTGTTGCGAAGTTATAGCTTAATGAATACGTATATCATGCTTTCGCTCTTACGGTGCCGTTCTACACTGCAAGGAAGCTACATGTTTGCTATTTTTGAAGGTGTGGTCAGCTTTGGAATATCCGCAAATGAGAGGTTCGCTGTTAGAAGAGGCGCAAGGATCGGACAACCCGCGTGAAATATACAGTCATGAGGACTACGTCTCCCTGGTGCATCATAGTGGACAAGTAAGTCTGGCAATAGTTATGGCGCAATGAAATAATATAAATAAATATTTCCAACGCTCACACCAATTAGCCTAGCCCCAAAGTAAGCACTATAAGGCTTGTGTTATGGGATACTAGGGTAACGGATAGAATACATTATACTGATACATAAATAAGTAAACTTTTATAGAAATACATATTAAACATCCATGATTGGAGTACAAATGATCGTAGTCATCACACAAACATCTGCCCCTACCGGGATTCGAACACGGGACCTTTCGAGTCGGCGACACCATGAAACCCGCCGCACAAACCACTCGGCCACGCAGGTCGTCAAAAAATTACATCGTTTTCGGGCACCCGAAGCAATATTTACACTGGAATACGGGCAGCACCGTCTGTGCTGGGTAACCAAATCTACCCAAATACGGGCGCACTCGACTCCGTTCATTTACACTTAGTAGTTACCGGAATTGGCACTTGTGTTCGGTCTTAATGACCAAGTTTAATGGCGCCATTAGGTGAATAATGAAAAAAAGGTATAGGTAGATAAGGAAGAATTTAACACCCCTCTGAACCAAATCCAAATAATTATTGTTTTTTGGGTAACAAACACTTTAAAAAACATTAAACTCTGAAATCAATTTAATTTAGCCTGAATATTTGGAGATAGAAGCTGAATTATACAACAATTTTATTTGAATTTGCAATTTTTTAATCTTTATTTATGTAAGCTACCAAAAGACAAATGGTTATTTGGCTGCAGACCAGCGTTGCCATTGATACGGCAATTCGAGCTCATAATTTCAGATTATACGGCATACGGCAGGTTTATTGAATCGATTTACATGGATAATATTATGAGTTAATTACAATTCCAACAAAACATCGCATTAAATTGTAGTTTAGGATACATTCCTAGTTCAATGAGTTACTGAAACTGTAAATGGAACTCTGTTAGCAAAGCAAGCCATCAGAAATCAAGTAAACTGTACAACATTTCAGCCATCCCGTGGCGTGTGTGTGAACATTAAAAACAAGGACAAATATTGTTTAAATAAACACGACATAGTTGAGTCTATTAGAAATCTGTATGGCGATGATATTAATGAGAAGTTTATTTTTTTGTTTATAATATAGTTACTATTGTAACTACCTACCTATAAATTTTAATAAATAAAAAGTAATACGGCAATATCATGATTTTTATTTAAAAATACAACAATCTGATGTATCGTATACGGCAACTCTGTTAAACTTGATGGCAACACTGTTGCAGACGCAACACAAAGGATATTTCCCCAAATTCTCGCTATATATAAAGTATTATTACTGCGAATCAAAAATATATTAGAATCTCTAATACATTTAAAACTGTACGCTCCTCCACACTTTTATGGTACTTTTATGAGTGATCGAAGAATGCTGCCACGTTCATGTCTAGCCGGTGACTGAATCAACTGAATCACTAATGACTATAGCTAATTTGAGTGAATTGCATCTATACATTGATTGTGCATGTAAGGGTAAGACAATGGAGGGGCGTTCAGTTTTAGATTAGAAGATCTCTACTCATGTTTTGATCTGTGCAGTACATCTCGCACAACTACGCTGAACAATCAACAAGCGAAGATCCCCGTATGATGGCATACTTTGACTCGCTGGTGCAGCGTGAACTCGAGTGCTTGGCCGAAGAAACGGATTCCTTCGACGGTTCGAGTAGCTGCCGATCGCCTCGCAACGACACAGACTCTTCGGACAGCGATCAAATAGTGGTGGATTTTCTGCCATTGCCACCCAAAAGATGTAAGTTTCTGGTTATTAATTTTTGCCTTATTATCAATGTATGTGAAATGATCTCCTTAGAATGCTTCGTCAACTATCGACCGCTACAATACTGGAGCCCAAGCAAGTTACTGAGTTGTCAAATTTCGTGCTTGGTCCTCTGACCACATCCAAAACTTATTGCTGTTTGCAGAAAATACTTGTGCTTATTTATGTACTTACACTTTAAAAGCATTACCGTCAAATTATCCAAATGTAATTCCGCCATTTTTTGTTAATGTTTTATCCTTAATAATCGTTAATATTGGCATAGTAAACTACAGGACAAAAAGACGTAGGACGATGGCTGGTGTGGCAGGTAGAACTGCTGTACCAGCTATCTTCACGTCTGGACTTCACCATCACTTAACATCAGGTGGGGTGGAGTCATTTGTCGGACCTATCTATAATAAAGAAAAAAAGGGACAGATATGGAGAAACGATAATTCTCCTTGTTGGGTATGGAGCCCTAATATTTTTTTTTGTTTTGTTAGCCAATCAGAATGGTGCTCGCAGCCAACGCTGCCCTAACCGGTTAGCTCGGCTCGTGGCGACAGCATCGCGATACACCAAAAATTTGCGCTCGCACAAAAGAGGATCTTTGAGGTGAGTCCACAGAAGTTAATCTAAGGCTCGGTATTACAGAATGACAACTAAGTGTTGATCTTTACTTGAGTACAGTTAAAAAGGGATATCGCTCTGTATAGCATACAGCGACATTTTTTAGTTTAGAATATTCTAAAAATACTAGAACAGCGGTATTTGTACACAAATTTCCTTTCCTGAAATGCCCTTTATCGAGACGGTGACAAGGTCTCTCCATTCGACTCTTTAGAGCAGGGCAGTTGATAGACTGAATCCAGTTATACCTTCTTATTTGGTCTAACCAACGGACAGGTGAACGGCCTCTTTCTCTTTTAACATTTACTTTTCCCTAACTTGTCGGACTTTCTCCGGGCGATATGACTTAGTGCTATGCTGATGAATTCCTATTCTAGTATGTTTAGGATATTTTAAACTAAACACTACCGCATTCTAGTATGTTTAGGATATTTTAAACTAAAAAATAGTGCGCTCGCACAAAAGAGGATCTTTGAGGGGAGTCCACAGAAGTTAATCTAAGGCTCGGATTACAGAATGACAACTAAGGCACGAGTTCACCAACATTTTAAACAATCGTTTATCTCCTAAACAACCGTTTAAGCATTTTTTTGTGTCCACCACGTGTTAACCGGCGTTTATATCCCCTAAACGGCTGATCAACTTAACCGAGCTCGAAACCATCGTTTAACTGTCGGTCAAACATTATTGACGTTTGCTGTGTATCGGTTGCTAAAATAGTTTAAGGTTATATCGACTTTTAATTTTTTTGTGTTGTGCTAAGTTAAAATGCAGTCAGTGTTTTAAGTTATGATTGATAACTATCAAGACTACTACCTAAATCTTCTTGAGAATCGAGATGATATATATATAAAGAAAAATTAGAAAGGGGAATAATAAGACAGCAGCGAAATTTGGATAGTACCTAATAGTAACTCGTCAAGAGACTTGAACCCTACCAGAAGAGCATTAATTTCAAATTATATTGAATCTGGTATAAATATTAAAATAACTAGATTTTTTAAATTCTACTGGTATATTTTCTTTATATAAAGATGCCATAAAACTTATAAATTAAAGTCAATAGAACTAATCATACAGAACGTGAGTCCTTAATATAACAAAGAATAAAACAAACAAAATTGGAAACAGAATTCAAGGATTTTATTGCATTACAAAAGTTTATCTAACTAGAAAACTTAAATAATTTAAACACATATATAACAAATTCATAATTAACTATTAAATAACCTACTCTTAACATATTTTATTCAATGAATGTAAAACAAGAGCATAAAGATTCCCGAAAGTAAAACAATTTGAGGCTCATAAATTAATGATCTCAAAAATAAAATAAAAAAAAGGTATTGAATAAATAGGGCAACTTACCTAACCTCTAAATTTCCAGTTGTATTTTTTTATCAATTACCTTTCTTTTGGAGGTCATTCAAACATTTTCCATAATTTATTAAATAGAACTACTTTTTAACGTGTTTAAATTGACATTACAATATAAATAAAAAAATATTGTTCTTCTAAAATACTAATTCTAATATCAGATTCTTTCTCTGCATTTTCTTGCAATATTTTGACAATTTTATTTTTCTCTCTTGTGAGAGTATCACCCAAAGTCTTGTTTAGGTCTCCTTCATTCCAGCCAGTCCTCTTCGTTAAGCTTAGAAGGTCTTAATTCTTCTGAAACAGGCGTTTTATATATTTGGAGTCCATGTACTCCTTGTTTTCACCTTCCTGTAAAAAGCAATAATTACCATAAAACTGAAAAGTACACTCTACATTATCACATTAGTTAAAATACTATTTGAACTCACCTTATTTTCATTTAATATGCCCTTTGAGGTACTGGCTTGGCACAATGATTCCTCAACTTCAACATCATCTTTATTATTCGGCTGTCTGACCTCGGCCATGGACAAAAATGTTATTTCAATATTTTCCTGGAATACATAGTATGCTGAATATTAATTAAACGTCAGTAAACATTTTTTGTCTTTACTAAAAATACGCCACCTGAAATATAAAAAGTACATACCAGTGTGTCACACAAAAAGTGAACAAATAAAAGGAAATGGTTTTATAAAAACACCATTTTTTTCATTAGAAGCTTTATAACTCTTTTGGTATAACGGGTTTTGCCACAGCCATGTAACAAAGTTGGTGTAAATTCTTTTGTTATATTATTTTAATCTTTTACTTTTAAAACTTGACAAAAAAAATATATATATGACCCTTCCTGTGTTAAGCGGCTACCATAGACTAAAGATGCTTGCGATACCTAAAATCCTAATAGTCGGTGAGCAGGCTGTATAAAAGTCCTATGGATCAGATACATAAATCATTTTTGGGGTATGAACAATAAAGCCATAGGTCCTGAGGTCGACATCCCTGAAGTTGCTTGAAAATCAAGAGTAGAATAGAAATGTCAAGGTTTGACAAGCTCTATTTATTCACTACCCTAAGTCGACAGTCAGATCGGGGCAAATAAAAGGTGTCGACCAATTTATTTTACAGTCGTTTGAGAAGTTCTAGTTTCAGAAAATATTAAAAAAAACCATGTATTCGATAGCTGAAGATAAATTAAAAAAAATATATTTTTAATGGTAGTCGACTCAGGTTGCGAATAAATGGAGCTTGTGAAACCTTGACATTTCTATTCTACTCATCAAAAACTTTCGTTTGACATACATTTTGTTGACGTATTTGATAAATTACAATTACACCTAAAATAAAAACCGGAATTGACGTCATAATTTTGCATGCCGGCAAAATCAAGCAACTTCAGGGGTGTCGACCTCTAGACCTTTGGCTTTATTTTTCATACCTCAAAAATTATTCATGTATTCGATCCATAGGACTTTTATACAGCCGGCTCTTGGACTATAAGGGGTCATCTATAACGTACGTCACACGTTAAGGGTCGAGGAAGTGTGATATTGTGGGACAAGGGGTGGGAGATGTCCTACGCTCATGACGTCTGATTTCAAAAACCTCATACTAAGTCACACTAGGGAGAGGGAGACTCACAAATGGGACCAACTTTGCCAAGGACGGGGGGGGGGGGGGGGGGGGATAAAAAAACACGAAGTTAAATGTACCCCTGTCTAGATATATGCATATTTTATTTTTGATGTGTAACATCTTTCCTCTCGCTTTCCTGCAATTTGTGGGAGTGATTTCGTGAAATGGGACGGAAGTGTGTAACAGGAAGTTGCGAAAGCGCGCACTATTTGATTTGATTTTAGAACATAATGTTCAAATGGCTTATTCCTTTTGTAGTAGTTTTTATTTCTATTTTTACTAATATAAGGTGAGGTTTTAAATGTTACACATCATACGCAACTACTGTAAGGCTCGCTCGTTTTTTTTTGTCTAGCATCCTATGCGACAGTTTCTTAACTTGTGTCAGCCACTGCGCTATCCATTTATTCTGCCAACTAGCCGAAGCACCGTAATATATCACTTTTTTATCGTGTCGAACTGTGAACTTCGACAATTAAGCTTGATAAAAAGTGATATGTTTAGTATATCACCGTATTTATGCTACGGGTGTCCAACCACCGCGTATACAACTAAAACCAAGATCTCCTAATAAACTTATATTTAAAAGGAATGTTCACGCTCATCTGCTGTGTCACTTTTTAATCATCATCACGTATATATTCTATATATATTTGAATTTTAGAGTGTTATATTTTTATGTATTATATTCTTGTAATGGTATGTATTTTTATACTTAGTTACGTATAAAAAAGTTAATTTGTACTGTATTTGTGTTTAGCTTTATACCGCCGTTATTTTTCCCAAAGGTTGACTGGGAGAGAATGCTTTTAGCATTAAGTCCGCCTTTCGTACCACTGTTATATATTTTGGTCAATAAAGTTTAAAATAAAACAAACTGTTCCTCTACACGCAGGCGTAGCAAACAGTCGCGCAATTCCCTAAGCAAGTCGAGCGGTAAATGCCCGAGCGGCGCCGGCAAGCGTTCGGAGCGCTCCGAGCGGTGCGAGCGTCGATCGCGCGGCCCCCGGCGGCCCATTGCTAGGGCTCGAGCGCGGCCCGTGCTGTCCAGCGAGCGGACGGATTCTGATGAACCCAGGCATTGCTTATATACGGATACGGGAAGGGTAAGTTAGCAGATTCTTTTAACAGTAGGCCTATTTGCTTAATACTTTTGACAGATGAAAGGGATAATAATAATAATATTTCCAACACTCACACCAATTAGCCTAGCCCCAAAAGTAAGCACTGTAAGGCTTGTGTTATAGGATACTATACTTGGGCAACGGATAGAATACATAGACTGTACATATATAAGTATTTTTATTTAGAAATAGATAATAAACATCCATGACTAGAGTACAAATGCTCGTATTCATCACACAAACATCTGCCCTCACCGGGATTCGAACCCCGGGGGACCTCTCGAGTCGGCGGCACCATGAAACCCGGCGTACAAACCACTCGGCAAAGGAGGTCGTCAATCGATAATCACCGAGTTAATTCGTAAATCACTACTGCTTTATGAGTATTATAATGCCATTAAGATAATTGTTTTAAACGTTCATGGTCACTACCAAAAATTACTTTAACTAAGATTCTTGTTCTGAAAAGCATCGATTGTTATATGCAATTTACATTTTAGTTACACACTGAAAATGTCGAAAAAGTTAGCGAATAGGCGTACATTACCCCTAGCACGAACCAATGTCGAATTCGAATCGTTTGCGAGTCCGAAATGTCATTGTAAAATGTGTACTAATATTTAGTTCTCGTTACGTACTTTGTGCCGCTGCTGTTCAAGTTTCCATACAAAATTTGACATTGAGATTTCGGTTTGTAAAGTAATCGAATTCGATAATGGTTCGTCATTATCGAATTAATAATCTAAAGAAGCTTCTTTAGATTTAAAAAAATATATACTAACCAGCTGTCAATATTAAAGGCAATTTTGGAAGCAGCGATCTTCAACTTTTGTTTCTGGACAGAATTATTATTAAAATATACTGGACGCTGATGTCTAGAACTCGGAGACATTTTGCTATTTTTAACAAAAAGAAAATATATATCAACAAAAAAAATTTTTATGCTAGATTTGGTATGACCAAAAACTAATTACCTTAACACTTTTCTTGCAGATAATAACGCCACAAAGGAGACGCATAAATCTCACGAGAACTTCGAAAAGGAAAAACAAAGTCACTAGTTATAGAAAAGTTATAAGTAATTTAAGGAGTAACGGTAATTAATTTTTTTGTATCCTATAATAGTACATACTATTTCAAATATGTATAGCAGTTAACTTAAATCGATTTAGTAGGTATATTATGGAAAACGGAAAATCGTAGATTTAAATCGATTGGTTTTATTTATTCTGTAATCTTGAATTCCATTAAAATAATGTTTGACTACATGTTTGCATAGTTACTAGCGTTTCATATAGCTAATTATATGTGTTTGCGTTGAATGTTTTATCCTAACCAGAAAAAAAACAAGGTATGATTGTACGCTTCCCGTGAACTTCTTCAAAGATAATGCAAGTCTCAATGTGACGTAAGCTTACCTCGTGTCAATGCGATGTAGCCTCTATCAAATGAAACGAATAACTGAAGGAGTAATAGGTAACACAATAAGACCCCTAAACTGAGAGCCTTAATTGGTTTTTAGGGTTCCGTACCTCAAAATGAAAAAAACGGAACTCTTATATATTGTCCGTCCGTCATGTGTAGACATGACCTATTACTCCTTCAGTTATTCGTTTCATTTGATAGAGGCTACATCGCATACTCGTGTCCCTTGGAGCTGTGAAAAAATTAAACTTCTAAGCCAAAGCAATCAAAAGATACAGCCGTTTATGCCACAAATTTTCGAAACTCGCACGGGAATCAAAACCTACAGGGAATTTCCCGTGAACTTAGAATCTTGAAATTTGGTACGAAGTTAACGACTTATAGTACAGATAAAGAAAAAATTGCGAAAACCGTAAATTTTAAGCTAACACGCAGTAAACGTTTTTGTATGTAAGATTTCTACTGCGCAGGCTTCCTTGTCTATGGTAGTTGCTCAAGAAGTTTTCCGGGGGTGTAAAACACCTTATATTATGCGATTGCTGACCATTAAATAAATTCATTAAAAAATATTTTGTTACAGGGGCTACACTAGCTCATGACAGCAGTAATAGCAATAATTTTAACCATTTTGACAATGATGAAAATTTAGCGCTACCAAGCACTAGCACAGGTAAGGCACTAATTTTCCTTTTTTATAAAATGTATATCCATAATGATCTATTGCGCTAATGGGTAAAAGTTGCTCACATGTACTTAATATCTTTTCAAATAAAATCAAGATAATCGAGCCCCAAATAAGTTTATGTCTACAATTCGCAACAAATCGATCCACCCCAGCTGATGTTAACGAGAGCCCATTCGCAAGATAGCTGAAGCAATTATTTGCTTTTAAATTTGGGTGTTATCACACCAGCTTATAACCTACTTATTGTTATCTTTCAAACTTTTTACAAATAGCATTTATTTCATATAGGATACAGGGGCCAAAGCTCTTCAACACTATTTAGGATAGCCGAAGTGGATTCCGACGACGACCAATCAGCGGGCAGCCAGCCCATATCACCCCGGAATCACGCCAATCAGGGCGTTCCCGCGAACCTAATCAGCGTAGTTCCCACGCCAATAAACGGGTCCCGCGACTCCATAGGCGATTTACTGCGAGTGGAACCGCCCGAGTCGGAAAGTAACAACTCGTCGCCGCCGCCGCCAGAAAGTAGACTAAGGATGAATTTGAGAAGAACTAGAAGAAACGGCCGTCTCAGTGTCCACCGTTCGGATTCCAGCGATTCTCCACCTCCTAAAGAAATATGCGCGACCACATCCTCCATAGCGGACAGACTTTCCCCAAAACTTGGCTACAACAGAACCGTGGCTAGACTCATGAATGAAACGAATGAAAGTGAATTGGAGAGCAGCTGCAGTACTGAGAGTAGCTTTTGGCCCCCACACGACGCTTTAGGGACCCCGGACAGTGGTGTTGGAACAGTCGCTGGTGGTAGTAGCACAAGAAACAACCAACGCCACGGAGACGATGTTTCCGACGACCCGGATTACCAAGCGCTCAAATTCAGGCAGCGAGTGAAGAAGGCGCGTCGCAACTACAGAAATCACATGGACTCTGATTCCAACTGAACTGATTTACTATTATTATTGTTATGTATATAGATAGATATTATTTAATTGTGTTCCTTTGAGGTGAACGCTTACGAAATGTGATGGTGGTGTGGTGTATCATTAATATGCAGTAGTGAGAATATATATTTAGGAATATAATATATTGATTTTATGTTGGACTAGATAAAAATTTGGAACTGTATAAATGTTGATTTTTTGATTGATGTTGAAATTTCTTTTCTGCTACGGGAATGTTAGTTTTATGAAGCATCACCCTGATAGTATGCTGTGTCTAGGCTATGTTGAAACACTACGAATACCGCTCTTATTGCTCACTAGCAATAAAGACTATAATCTTATCTATGTCAAATGTAGCCATTTCTTTGGCATTGACTGTACTACAGCTGATTAGGCATTTTTTTAAATAGTTTGATGTAAGGGCCGGCGCCCACTGCACGGTAAAGTAAAGGATTTGTATTCGACAAATAGAAATATTATTTTGACAGTATGACTAAGATTTCTATTGCAAACATAAAACCGTAGGTCTGTGCTATACTATGATTTATTAATGGGTCAGATTCACGAGTTCTATCACACTATCTAACAGTTTAAGGTAGCTCATCTTTTCTATTCAACACCTATAGAACAAAAAGTTTTTCTGGTTACAAGATTTGTATCAATCTCTAATTATGGTCATACTACTGTTATAATTAATTTCTTATACGAACTTAAGAAATAATTTATGATATCATGCGTTGCGTTAATGAGGTGGGTGTGGTGCCTAAAGATATTTCTATACCTTCTTATTAATAAACGAAAAGGATAATCATTCCCTAGCAAGGGTACCGCGATATGACTTATATCACGTTTTATCATTTCTAACTGTCGAAGTTCTATAGAGTTTAACAGTTGGGCGTGATAACATCCGTGACATCTGTCATATCGCGCTGCTTAACTGGACTAGGTATTGGGTGTATTCCGAAATATACACCGGTACGCTGGCCAGCGGTAATAACGTTATGAATCGACGCCATGCTGTTGATTCGTTCCAAATACACTGATCAGCGCGGTGACGTCATGAACTGGCGCTATATTCAAGCAGTCTCGTGTTTGTGTGCAACGTTCATGCTCCAAAAAATATAATAAATTTTAAGTGCGATTATTTCATTATTATCAATTTAATACAAAAAGAACTTCACTAACTGCAGAGCGTATATACCCGGCTAATAAATAATTACACACAGTATTCTCACCAGTTTAATATCGCTGCACACCAATGCACTATGGCGTCGAAACCATGACGTCATTACCGCTGGCCAGCGTACTGGTGTATATTTTGGAATACACCCATAACGTATTGTTTTGTATTTGTTCATCGAATTAAAAATAAAAACTGTTATTTGGGTGTTATGAACCAAACGCTGTGTTAATTTTATAGTCCCAAGTTTATTTTTCGTTTATTACTACAGCCCCCCCTAGCATGAACACCGCGATATGATATTTATTCATTTGCCAATTATTGAGCGTGATAAAAACGCGTTATATGGAATTTGACAGACGCTATCGCGTTATATCTCGTTTATGATAATAAACGAGATATAATGTTATTTGTGGTGCTCATGCTACAGGGACTAAAGTAAAGTTTTATAATGATACCTACGATACCTTGTGGGTGAGTAACGTAGCTGGTTGTAACACAAGGCGGCACAATTTATTGAGCGACTAAACTGTCTGTGTCTACACTAATGTTATGCCAGATTTACATGAGCTAATTGTCTAACTTAACAGGCCACAGCTTTCGGCGTGTAACAAGCGCTTATGTAAATCTGCTATGAAGTTGAGAGCGATTTTTCAATGACTGCACCTTCAACTGTTTATTATAATGTTTGTTATTAAGACTTTTTGAATTAGTCTTAATCTGAATATGAACAATCTGCATACGAGGTCATTAATCTTTATTCGGATACTAAGCTCATGATTATTATTATTATAAGGTACCGTATACTTACCATTGTAAATGGTATAGTATTGGCTTGTTAAAAGACAGGTTTGATCCTAGAATTATGTAATTGTGCAATTTTCACCACTGGTTTAAAAGGTTGGTATTTTAAAAGAAAAAAATAGGAAATTACATTGTGAGAACATACTGAAACGTCGTTATGATGATGAGTTTAGAAATTTTTTTACCTGCCAATATAGTGGCGTCATATGCAGATGCATATCCAGCTTGCATTTTGTACAGTATATTATGTTAATAAATATAAAGATTATATGTGATCTATTAATATCGACTGTGTTAGCTTTAGGATCAATGTTCCATTGAAAAGCTGTCTATGTATAAAAAGCTGGATTGGTTAATACATTGACCTGAATTACAATCTGTTTATTTTTCAAAACCTTCAGTTCATTCAAACGTCCTTTCCATTTCTCCTGCGACAGAATCATGATTGAACTTTTTTAAGAGATCTCTTCTCTACCCAATATGTTACAACGGCACCCAATTACCGCAAAGTCTGGTTTCAGTTACAGACTTTCGAACCGCAATAGGACCAATAAGGCATTGAGCAGACGACGGGGCGGGGCGGGCATTTTATCCGCAAAGCAATAAAGACCGCGTCTGCCCGTCGATGTCTGCGGCTGCCCGCGCCGCGTACACAAAGCACACGACGGGCAGAGGCGGTCAGTTTAGGAAGTTCGTTCTAGTGAATAGTCCATCACTAATAAGCGCGTGGCGCGGACTGAGCTGACCGCCCCGCGCCGCCGTCTGCGTTACTGCATGTAAACTGGCTTGTATGATCCACGGCGGGCAGCCGCGGACATGCTGCGCCGCCAGTGCCCGCCGGGCACCCAAGGCGCGGTCTTTTTGCCCTCTGTGTGCGTTTGAAGTAAAGGATTCACTTTGTGCTATTATTCGCGGCGAAATTGACCGGCCCGCCCCGCCCCGTCGTCTGCAAAGTGCCTTAATGTAGATGATTGAAAACTTAGTTCATAGATGGTTTATAGTACTTTATCATATGTGATGAACCTTGCATATTCAAGGTCGTAGTCAGAGTTGTGGTAATTACAGGATTTACAGTTAGGGCATAAACAGAAAAACCTTTTGACCCTATTGTATACATTTCCTGTTAAAACACTCGAAGAATTATAATACATCGCTAAAGGACATCGACGAAATCGGCCCTAGCATGCCCAGAAAAATGTCCTTCACTATTATTTTCCTATTATTGTTTTAATTTATTAGCAATTAACTAGCAAACCAGTGAACCAAATGTTCATCAAAAAAAAAATGTATTTAATTAATTGAGAACTTCGGAGATTTTGTGTGGTTTCGTTTGAAATAAAAATCACGTTATTTCTCGAAAACCGGAAGTGCTACGTTACTCAAATCCGGTTTGTAGTCTTATCAGACTATTCTTAACTTATAACTTAAACATTCTCTTTATCTATCTCTTACGGTTTGGCCGCTGAAACAGCACCACGGACGGACGGACGGACTTGTCTAATAGATAAGAGATAATATTAAACGGACAATCTGTTTAAAAAAAATAGTTCTGTTACTAGTTACTACAGTCTGTTCATCCTAAAACGCTCTACTGACATGCCTGCCGCAAGGACAATCTAGGGTGTAAGAATGGGGATGACCCTAAATTGCCTCCTGAATTGTGATGTGTGTAGGCAAGTTGTGGCAATTTTCTAAATGGCGCCTGCGGCAGGACGGCAGGAGCGCGCGACCACCCTTGCTTCCTAAATTGTCTCAACCGCCCTGCACGTTGCCGCGTGTGTAGCGCGATTGGGGTAATTTCTCAATCAGTCGATTAGTAGCTGTCACACGCAGCGCACGTATTTTGATCAAGATGGCGACAGATCATAATGAGCATGAAGTTTGGACACGAGTGATCGAAGTATATAAAGACCGGCCCCACATGTGGGATAAAAAAAACAAACATTATTTATATTTTTTTTAATTAATTTTCATTTTTAAGAATGTGACTGCTCCATGTTTAAATCTTAAGAAAATATTACTAGAAAAATAGAAATACATAGTTTATTTTTATTTTTTTCTTGTAATATTTTCTTTAGATTCAAACATTGAGCAGTTACATGCTTAAAAAATTAAAATTATGACTTTAATTGCTATTTCTTCTTTTAACTGACCGCCTCTGCCCGTCGTGTGCTTTGTGTACGCGGCGCGGGCAGCCGCAGACATCGACGGGCAGACGCGGTCTTTATTGCTTCGCGGACAAAAAGCCCGCCCCGCCCCGTCGTCTGCTAAGCGCCTAAGGTCAATATACATACACAATAGTTGTAAAATCTGTAGGAAAATGAAATGTGACCAGGCGCGTACGCAGCCTGAAATTTTGGAGGGGGTCACTCACTACACTAATAACAAAAAGCCGGTCAAGTGCGAGTCGAACTCGCGCACCGAGGGTTCCGTACACACCTGAATTTTCAAAAATATTTTGAAGTTATACTTCTTAAGGCGCGTTATGAAAAAATGATGAGAGTGAAATTTTAAGATGCGCGCGCATTCACTGTAACACAAAAAATTTTAACAGCATGAAGTTGGTCGCTTTAGCGACAAACTTCATGCGTTACTTTTGTGTTTACCGCACATTAAGAAAATCTACCAACAAAATAGAAATGAATCACTATGTAGTGGGTGCTAACGACTGCATTGTGAAGGCCTATCAAAAGTATTTATTAATCTAGAACAACGGAACCAAAGTGCGATTCAGGAGACTACAGCGCCATCTCTTGACCATTGGTGTAGTAGAACCAAAAACCACATCTTTATTTTTTGTAATAAAGTAACAGTTATAGGTATTCATATTTATAATATTTATCCACATGTTTCCAGTTTGTATATTCGGAATACGTGTTTGAGTTTCATACAAGTGCAAATCACATATGTTCTAATAAATTATATTCAGTAGCGATTTTAATTGAATATTTTGATTATTTATTTATTTTTTCAAATTAAAACTGAACTAATTTTAAACGATGCCAAAGAAGGATAA